CAGATATCAAACAGGTACTTCAGTGTAGTTAAGACAGATGAGTTCTGTGCTGCTGAAGGGCCATGCACTTTCTGAAAGCTGCTGGATTTAAGTTTGTTGTGTGTTCTTCTAACATAAACCAGCATATAAAATGTTGCAAATGCTTGTTGTGGATTTTAGGAGTGTTTATGTAGCAACAGGAAAGTTATATTTGCAAATACCAACAGAAACACAGCAACTGCAGCTCACAAGGTTCCTCGATACCTTCCTCATATCCAGAGGAGGAACGAACAGTATTGCCCTTTGGGTGACAGATGTTTTAAAAAAAATCCTCTGAAAAATTCAGGCTACCTTTTCAAAAAGCAACAGTCAAATGACATGCTCATCATTGCTCCAGTCCCTCACCCTGACTTTCCCCTTGGGGCTTACCTGCTGTAGTAGCAACTCCCTTCCAAAAGAGTTGCTTTCCTTTTATTCTATTCAGGTCTAGTGAAGAGTACGAGTAATGATGATGTTTCTCTAATTGCCTGTTGGAGTCATTCACCTTTCCTCTAATTAGCTAAACTTAGTTGACAGCCCTTCTAAGTTAAAACTAAAATCTCATTTTGACTGCGGGCCTTAATTGTCATTCCTAAAGTAGCTTCAGTCTCAGTAAAATACAGTTCCAAAAGAGCAAGGTACAATGTTTATCCTCTGAAAGTTGTTAAAAGAGGGGTTGCACCTCAACAGATGTCCCATTCAGGGACAGCCTACAACCATATTACAGCTACTACAATAATCGACTGCTTGGAAACCCAGATGAAAAATCTACTCATGTCATACTTGCACATCACCCACTTAGGTGTGTCATTACACCTCATGCTAATACAGGGGTTCTCAAGTATTTCCTTGCTTCTTGGTATGTCTCCCCAACAGCCTCTAAGTATTATGGCCTAGGAAACGAAAAATTAGAGTTCTTTAGATGTGTTTATTTAGAACTGACAACTTTCTGCCAAGATGGAAGAAAAAGCAGGAGAAAGATGATTTTGAAAATAGCTTTTTTGGTGGGTTTTTTGTTTGTTTGTGTGTTTGTTTGTTAACTGCAACTGTGTAGATGGCTTGATCTAGGTTACCAACACGTGGTAGCTACTAACCCTGTTCTACACCTCTAAGAGCTGCAGAACATTTCTAGGTGATCAGTGAAATTTAAAGTCTCTGGAATAGTTTTCTATTTCTATTTCTAAAGCTTCTGAACCTCAACTAGATTAGAGCTGCTGCTTTACTACAATGCAGACCTTGTTCAGACTCAGTTAACAGTTGCTTAACTGCATGAAGTACAGTCAGTGATTAGGACACCAAGCCGGTAGGAAATTTAAAGTCAGAGTGGACCAACACCAACAATCCACCACCATTCCTAAACTTCCTCGGTGCTGTTCATAGGATCACGACACTTTAGTTCAACTCCTGATGGAACTTGTCTATGTAATGAAGAAAGCTAGAGTCCCTGAACTAGGTTACTGAGATCAAGCAATTTAAGTTTATTTCTTATCCTCCATGGAAAGCCCACAGATACAGGCTCCTTCCCTTGGGGGATAGCCATAAGCTTCTTTGGTCTTTTTGGTAACATCTACAGTCAAGCACACCTTATCCAAAGGCCAGTTGTTCTTGAGTGCTGTGCTCTGCATTACAGCTTTAAAAAAATAATACTTTCAATATTTCAATAATTCAATATCCAGACAGTAATTTTAATGTCAGAACTGTTAACGTGCCCCTCCTGGGCCTGTTGTGCACAAGCCTGAGACTGACGGGTTTTTTTTTTCCTTTGGCCATTAGTTGAAGTAAGGCAAAAAAGCTGCATGAATGCAATTGTTTGGAAACAAAACATTCTGCACAGTACAGAACAAACCAACCCCCTCCTTAACAGGGGAGCAAGACCGCATTGCTGTCCGCACTCTGAGACACCGCCTTGCTTCAGTTGAGTCCCTGTTCAGAACAAGCCTGTGCTAACATCTATTCTAGCCTGCATGGTCCTTACATCCCCCCAGCCCTTGACAGGAACGAGCGCCCAGAAGAGAAAGTTTGGAGAGAGGCAGTAAAAGGAGTGAAAAATACAGTTGAGTTTCTCTATGCCTGTGGCACAAAATGAGCACCATTCGGGGACCTCGACATGAGCAGCAGAGAGAAGAGGAGCTGCCTGCCAGTCCTCATGCTGCCAATCCCCTTCTGCTTCCAAGTACAGGGAGAGGTGCTTCAGTGTCGGCTGCAAACGCTCCCTGGGCCCCCGCTGCCCATCTTCTCCAGGGAATGATGGCAGCCCAGCCAAAGTGTCCTGTGAGAAGCTCCTGGCCACCTTTCTGCTAGGCTAGCGGAGGATTATCTGAGTGCCATTGGTGGCCATGCAGAATTTGAGATACCCTGTTATCGGGCTCTCATGGGGCTTCACTGTGGTCTTCAGAATAAATACACACATAATGTGCTGTGATCATGGCAAGAAGTGAGACATCAATACACTGCTGAAGATTTTTTTATCCTCTACTGTGGCAACAACTACACAAAGAGGACTGGCAGACATTTATTTTTTCTACTGAGCCTGGTAACTGCGTTCATTCTAAGGAATAAACCAGAATGGTACCATGACATATGCACTGAATTGGTTAAATAACAATGACAGGAAAACTTGCACTCTTAACCTTTTTTAAACTATGAAATTCAGCTTTTATTTCCTTAGCTGCTTTGTCTTCACGCTTCTGAGTAGACTGAAGACGCGTTTGGGTTGTTTCCCCTGCTTCCAGGAGATGATTATTCTGATACCAATGAGTCTACCTACAGGAGAAGAACTTGGACTAGAGGATTTTAAAAATGGGACAACTCACTGCTAGGAATCGCTGTTACAGAGCAAGGTTGTTGTCAAATAGATCTTAAAGACAGCACATGATTAAACCCAGGACATTTCAGTCTTAGTTTTCCTGCCATTTTTGTCATTTCTTTACTTTTCTATTCAGCTTAGATATTTAGCTGGTATTTATCTTTTTATTTAAACTGTGCCTAACTCTCCAAACAGCATCACAAACATAGCTAACACCAGTGGTAAAAAATAAATGTCTGGCAGTGAAAGGATATGCCTGGTTCCTTACAACCATCACTGCTTACCTGTCAGAAAGGACCGAGGATTGAACAAGCCAGAAAGCCACACCACTGCTGGCAGCACAAGGTCCTGTGTCCAGATCTGAAGTTCTCTGTATTGCATGAGAAGATCGGTAACCCTAAAAGAGAAGCAGCAATAGCTTCTGCCTGAATCTATTTGTACTACTTTTTTAGACAAAATAAATTGCAGATTCAAGTGTAAGAGTCCTTTTGTCTACAGAGAAGGTACATGGCTGAAGTAACCAGAAAGTATATGCTTACGTAAGCCTAAGGTCATGGTTTTAGTAGAATTGTTCTTTCCCTGATGTAGGTATGTCCGAAATCAATTGTAGAAGGGGATCAGCATGAGACAGGTTGCTGGCAACAGAGAATGTGGGTATGCTCAATCCTGTAAAACTTGTTGTCTTGGAGAGAAACCTGAACATCACCATTAGTCATGTTAACGCAACTTCAGAAACTGCCAAAAATTAGTAACAACAGTTGATGGCTTCTTAAATGCAAATTGTCTGATACCATCTTCAGTGGTGCATTTAAACTTCCAATAGGCCAGAGCAAAGTACAAATTGGGAGCACAAGAGAGTCTGACACAGAGACTGTGAATAACAGCATACTGCAGCACACATTGCCATGAGATACCAGAGGAATTTCCAAAAACACTGCCTATTTTTTCCATATGTAACAGCCTGCCAGTGGCTATTGCTGGTGGCAGGGTAGGGGAAAAGGAATCCTGAAAGATGCTGAACACCCCTAGCTCTTGTGACAAGGGAGGTGACGAAGCCTTGCTTTAGCAAAGAGCTTAGCATTTCTGCAAAACTCACTTCAAAGTCAAACTGACTTGCATTAAGACAACTTTTGGACCAAAAAAAAAAAAGGAACAAAGCTGTTGGTTTTATATCACTGGAATAGCTCTGTACATAGTAGCTAAACCCTGTTACTGTGTCATACTTACCAGTATGTGGATGGATATGCTAGTTTAGTCTATGTGTCTGGCACAGCATCATAGAAGAGTGCGGACTGCAGCACTTCCATGTGAGGAGAAAACATCAACTCCCCCTTTGTTTGGAGAACAATAATAAAAAGCATACTGGCATCATAAAGAATAGCTAGTCTTTCATTTCCAAAAAAGCAACAGAAAGCCCCAAAATACATAGAAGAGCAACAGTACTGTTAATAAAAAAGTCACTTGCCTTCAGACCAAGGTCCAGCTGTTTAAGAGACCTACGGATCTCTGAAAGGAGGAGGTTCATCCTCTCACACTCTTGAAGGCAAACAAGGGCATAGGGACTCCAGGCAATAGTCGTCTGCGTGATTTCTGCCATATTAAACTCCTCAGGAAGCATCTCCAGAATACTATCCAGGACGTTCTTAACCTTTCCAGGCCAATACAAACAGAGCCATTAGAAATCACTGCAATTAACTCTTTTTGACTCTTCTACTTTCAAGTCTGATTTCTTCTCCAGGAGAGCACAAACATCCCATTTTCTTAGGCAGATAAAAACCAGAGATGCTCCCCTACCTTTGCTGTCTCTTCGGCAACAGTATCGAGACAAATGACTGCAAACCAGTTAACACTTAGAAGCTTCTATTTAGCTTTACAATTCCAAGTAACACTGACCCCCAAAGCCCACCAACACATCGTCCCTGGGCTTGGGATGACCGCTGTTACAAGTATGTACCCTGAGATTGCCTTGGTTTTTAGTCAAGTGTGATCAGTTGTTTTTTATTTCTGTAGTACGTAATAGCTTCTATCTCCCCCTCCACCGCCCACAGTCCTTACTGTCTTGAGCATTAGGCAAAATACAGCACAGGCACATGCACACACACGTCTCACCCCCAAAAAGAGCCTCTCTCCCTCCCCGCAGGCCTGCTCTGGAACTGAGACAGAACACAACTGAAAAACAATTCATAACAGAGCAGCAACTGAAATCACAACATTAATGCAGCTCAGTTTCCCTTCCAGTCCTAGCTTTGGCAAAATTAATGATGAATGCCATATATAATTGTCCATACTCACTAAAGTGGACAGGAACCAAACATGAAAAGCACAAGGTCCCCCTGGGAAATGAAGTGTTGTTTGGCTACTTGCATACAGAGTATTGTATTCCCTTCTGCAAAACCCCCATGATCTGATGGTGGTAAGAGAAAAAAAAAAGAGTGCCCAGAGGGAAAGGAAGGAAGGGATGGAAGGTTGCAGAACAAGAGTGGCAGTCATGGGGGAATTTAATTAACTCTGGTAAGGATGAGGAGCTGAAGGCTCAGTCTCATGATATGCCAGTTTTTGGGGCATCTGGACATAGTTTCTCAGGTCTACACTCAAAGGAAGGTGCAGAAGACAGCAGGGTCTGATGACAGAACTAGCTGAGATTTCTGATTATGTTTTCCTTTCCTGCTCATCATTTATTAATTTAATCTATTAAGCACAGCACCAGTGCTGTTCCATGCTCAAAACCCAGTCTTTTACATTTTTCTGGAATCAGTTTGGCTGTACTAAGATATCTGGGTATCTGAGATACCTTGACTGTGAACAGAACTACAGTGCCCCAGTTAACTCCATGTTAAGTGACAAAGCTTATCTTTGTATTAGGGTTTCCCTTCAACCTAGCATCTGATAGCTTATAGGTATTAATGTTATTGTTCTGCTAAACTCCAGATTTCGTACAAATCAGCTAATTTTGCCCAGATTTCACCTCTTCAGACTACCAGAAAACTAAAAATCCCTGAAAAGCTCCTCCTCAACTGCTGCCTGCAAGGGAAGTCTCGGAGCAGCCACATGGCTCCTGCTCGGATCAAGGGCCCGGGAAGGGGAGCGGTGGGAGAGCACTGTGCTTGGGCTGCTCTTCCTGGCATGGAGACCCTACACATGACTGCTAGGCTGTGCTGTGAACGTGGCAGAAAGAAGCCAGGACCACGGGCTGGGAGGGACTTCCTACGCTCGACACAAGTGGGAAGGAGCAGGGAAGCTACACAAAGGGGATTTATCATGCAGGAGATGGGAACAAAGCACAGAGGTGAAGACTAGACTCACCAACTCAGCCAACCGTAACTTTTTTTAGTAAGCTAGTGTTGCTGTACTTGTTTATAAAAGCACACAAAAAAGCAAGATAGAGTCATCCCTTGTTTCCCACCCTGTATCAAATTCAAAGTGAAAAAGAAACCGTCTGCATAACAGGTTAGATGTTCCTCTGGTCCAAATTCCTCCCTAGTGCAGTACATTGCACAGGCTGGTGCATTATCATCGTCACTATTAACACTCAGCTGATCTTTGCTAATTTGATGCACCTTTTTTTTTTTTCCTAGAAATGAAGTCTCTTGCTGAAATAACACAGTAAGATGTGTGCTCCACATGTCATCAACAGCACCGAAACACACCAGATGAAGAACTTTACCTTTTCCTCTGCAAACTGGCATGATCCTTCTCCTACGAATGAATTTATGGGTTGCATTTCCAAAAGAGTTTTGAAGAGATTATCTGACCTTGCTGTCAAGTATCCCTTCTCAGCATTAGGGTGCAGTCTATATAGTACAGGGCTTTCAGATGGAAGCATTTCATTTATGTGTTTATGGTATCCATCATAATCCAGATTTGGTGGGGCCAAGAAACCTGGTGCCAGAGTCAGTTCCCCTTCAAGTTTCAGTAAAAGAATCAATAATGTTATTGATAATGTTGTCATCAGTTCTTGAAACATTCTTCTGCATCTACAAAGTTTCAGAAATTTGTCTGGAGTCTATGAAAATGACACCTACATGTGTTGATATAGTGGAACAGGGTTACCAAACTATTTTTAGCACAGTTACTATTTGCACACTTTTCCGATGTTCCCATTTTTTGCAGCATTGAAATACTGTTGCTGCTTCCTTTTCATTCATGAGGATGCTCTGAGTTTAAGGACAGCCACTACTGAGGTGAGTGTATTTTAAGTACCGAATTTCTGCAACCCCTCAGTAGACGAGCAAGGATCGTTATGCCATTTTGCAGATGAGAGTCTGAGACACACTGATAGTGTCACACAGGACCAGGACACCTGTGGGAGAGGCAGGACTGGACCCTCAACTCACCTGAAGCCCCAACCCAGTAATACATGAGCCGCAACATTAATTCTGCTTGGTGTGTTGTTAATTAGGGGCTTTGCACAAACACACTGTGCTCACAATAACCTTAAAGAGGTTACAGGGAGCGACAGGTCAATGAGACAAGTAAGTGTAGTGTGTAAATGGGACAACACATGTTGCAATTCATAGCTTGTCAGAAACAGTGATCCCAAATCCACTTTCCACAGAAATGGTTGTCAGTTAGGACATTTCTTCACGTGTTGATGTCCCTTCCTTTTTCTTCTGCCTGGCTGATAACACCCAGGAGCTGGAACAGAAAGGAAAAACATGCTACTCCGTTCCATCTCTCCAAATGTAGGAGTCTTGCATGGGGTTTTGTACTGCTGCTTTGGCCTCAGTGAGATAGACAGTGGCAATAATTTTCACAGCAGAAAAAATTAAGGTCTCAATCAGCTCAATATTGAAACACATACTGTTAACTGCACCATTCTATAGAACAGGCAGGCCCTACCCCATCAGGATATTAAAGATAAGACTCAGGACTTGGGAGCAAGTCAAGAATTAAGTAGATAGATGGAGGGCTTTGGAGAGATGTACTCTTGGTGGGCTGCCCTCCTACTGATGACAGGACAGAATATAAGCTGTAGCAACCACATTTATTTTCCAGGCTCCCCCAGCTCCTGTGCTGTAAGGACTTCACTGGATTCAAAGAGTTTCTCTGAACTTATTGTCATAGAGCTGTCTGGGATTTAAATCAGACTTGCAAGTTGTTTTTGCTGAAAAATATTTCTGGCTCTAAGTGGTACTTTTCACAGGAGCTATTTCTTCCTAATGCAGGGTCCACTCCACAAAATCACAATAAAATTTAACAGCTTTTGGCATTTAGAACAGTCGACAACAAGCTGCTGCTCACAATAACACCAGTAAGCACTTATTTCTGAAGTCATTTTGGTTCTGCAACTAGCCATTTACCTGCGCCTGAACCTGCACCACTAACCTCACCCACAATAAGCTATGTCTTAAGACGCCACTTTGAAGCAGTGCCGAGGTTTTGAAAAAAGCCCTGTTATTCACCTCGAGTGGAAGATCAATTCTGTCAGACAATCTGTATTTACCAGTCTCTCTGCTGGCACTTAAAATGGGTTTTACCGTATTCCTGGGAGTCATGTATGCAGAGGGAGGCTGTGGGTTACGGGGGTTCATAGCAGGAACTCACTGCCGTTCTGTGCTTACGACAGATCCCAGATGAGGTATAGAAAAGCTGACATATAGTGGATTATTCTAACACCTCATGGAATGAATTTATAGCTAAAAGAACTTATCAGCAATGGGAAGAGGTAAAAGAGAAGGTAATCTCCCCAGTGAACACAAAGCACCAGCCCTGATGAAAGGCATTGCCATCCTGTTTGCATTCATTTGGCTGCCAGTCAATAAATGATTTTCTGTTTTTTCTGGTAATTCGGGGCTTTAACATTTTCTAATCATGGCAAAAAGCTTGGAAAGATATCTCACCGTTTTAAATACCAGCAGATCCACGCTGGGGGTTGGGTCCCTAAACTTTCCAAAGGCCATACAAATAGCAGTGATTCTCCTCAGGTTTCACCACCTATACTTATTTTACAATTATTTGAATGAAAGTTCAGGCTTGCGAAGGTTAATGGACTGCCTAAACTGGAAACAGTAATTCTTTACTTATCCATAGGCTAGAGGCAGAGCCGGAGCTGGCAGGATGAGCTTCCCACCATGCCCCCGTGACCTCAGCTGTCATTTGGAGAAATCAGCCTCCGCCGAGGTCAGGAGTACAGTGGTGTTTAGCCTTTCCATCTCCATGGCAACTTACTCTTGGGCATCTTCTTCTGAGCAGTTACTTCCAACTGCCTTCATCTGAGTGTGGCTCTGACATAGCAAACCCACTCGTTAGAGACTGAGGAGACACCAGCAAGCGCAACTCGCTCACGACCGAAAGGCAGGCTTCAGCAGCATTGCCAAGGGGGAAAAGTGCACCTTCCCCAAGTTAGCCAGGCTCTGCAAATAGCCTGCTCACACATAACGTGCTAATTTTCATTTTTTTTTCCTCCCAAATAAGCTTTTTACCTTTGGATAATGAAAAATAACAAGTCTGGAAAGGGCACTTGAAAAATCTCTCAGCTGTTTTTAGCAAATTGTGTACAATCAGTTCTGTAAAGTGACTAGTTCAGCAGCTTAGGAGAAGCAGCCAGTTGGGTTTTTTTTACTTATCTTTATATACACACACACACCTATATATACATACACATTTTATATAAATGTATGTATATGAAAATAGATTAAAGTAGTTTCCATGCCTAAAGTTAAAGCAACATTTGCTTTTTGTATCCTCAAAAATTCTAACATTTGTTTCTGATTAGAAGCAACTTTGGCAATCTTGCACCTTGGACTCATGGATGCTCCACAGACACTGCTGTCCAGGACCAAAACTCAGTAGTGAAATTTGAATAATTCAGTATATATCAGCTTGCGATAATCTGACAGAGCTACAGAAACAGATGTGTGAGAGGGTGGTGGAACTGAGACGCAGTCTTACAAACTGTTTTCCCTATTTTGGAAACAGGAAAATGCAAGGAAATGTATAACATTCCATTCTACTATTTTTCCGGAGAAGAAAACATACAAACAGTAAATGTAAGTTTTGAGGACAGTGCCATTCTGGACTGCTGTAACTGGTGAGTCTATCATTTACGTTGGTTGAAGTGCAGTTTCATAAAAGATACTTTCCTGTGCCCACCCAGACCTTTCTAAACGGCGGCACTTTAAAATAGAACAGTCTTATTAGGAAAATGGAAACCTAAATGTACTATCCCCTAATGTCATTAAGCTGGCTATACAAGTGGTGTTACAAAACACTGAATTCAAGTTGCCAAGTAAGGGTGCTTGTGAAAGTATTTAAACAAGGAATATGCCAAGTCACAAACCCTTGCAGACAAAATCTGCTCATGATGAATCATTGTACTCATTACGAGTTGGAGAATTTATTGCCCCACAGCCAGACAAGACCTTGCTACAGGTGGGGCCGCATAGACGAGGAAGCTTGTGGTCTTCTCCACAAGGCTCCAGTTCTGAAAGATGATTTCTCTTAGTTTGAACATACTATATACATGTTCAAGAGCTTTAGGCATATGAAAGTTCTTGCCACAGGTGGGCTGATGAATTCTTGCAGATACATACAGCAAAGCCTGCAGTCCAAGGCATCGGTGATGTGGACACCGTACATGATCTCACCAAAGAGGTAACGCAAGTCTTCCCACGGAACCTACCCGGCGGAATAGAATGCATACCTGAATAAAACAAGTCAGCTTTCTAAAGGACAAACCAAAGCTGCTCAGAATAAATGCTGTTAAGAGAAACAAAAGAAATTCAAATACTTTCTTTCAGAAAGCTTCATGGTTATATATGGTTATAAAAGTACATTTTCAAAACACCGCATGATATAAGAGAACATAACTCATTAACAAGCGCATGTATTTTCCCATACAGATCTTTAAAAACATAATCCTCATGAGTGACAGGAAGGTAACCTACTGTGCCTTTCTTAGAGGAGAAATAAAAAACTTGTATCTGATTGCAGTCTTTTGTGTCTCCTCACTAGGAAACACTCAGTAACTGAAATTCTACATTATTTGAATTTGGGATGTATTCAAGAACTTTGGTAAAAATTGAATTAATACTAATCCCATTACTACCACATCACGTAAGCATTATGTTTATTGTAGAATTCTAGTCATAATGCCACTGTTATAGCATGTGATTAACAGTGGTAACACATTTTATTCAAGGAACTACTGTCTTCCTCTTTTATTTGGCTTCACAGAGTTTGAAGCTTCTTTTTGCTACCCTTTGGTTTGCAAAATATGCCAGTTTGTGGTGAAGCCTTTCCAGACAGGAACCTTTACACCCTTGGGGGCAGTATTTGCCTCCCAACAGTTCAAGTAAAAACTTAATTATAGGCTTTAAATATTGCATGATGTGACAGAACAGAACAAGTAAAATAGCTGCAGCTATTCCAGCCTGCTTGCTACAAGTTTATTTCAATTTGAATATGTGAAACTCTAATCCATCTTTCTTTTAAATTGGTTTGAAGAGAATGAAAACAGAAAAAAAAGAAAAAAAAAGGCCACTGGAATATAATATGCAACACTGCATGCTGGTGATGAGAAGCCTGAACAGAGAATCCCTGTGAAAAATGCCACCAACTTGGATTTAGAATGAAACATTCTTGCAGTTAGAATAAAGCTGCTTTTCTCTTTGTTGGCAACAGAAACACATTCAATGTTTTTCTAATTTCATATATATTTATCTCAAGAAATGGCTTTTTCCTCTGTCTCGTAGAAGGGTATATCAATATGCTAACTCAGTACAAGCTCATTCAGCTGCACACTTCCGGAGACATTGATTACACTGCCATAATCAAAGCTTGTGATATAAAAGGGACATTTCTGCTAGTGTGAGAAAACTGAGGGGTTTGCATTAGAAATATTTTTGGCTGTCAGGTTTGCATAACTGCCATTGTACTCTATAGAAAACTGGTCTGTTGTACGCAAAAAAAACACGGAGCCATTGCTCAGTGGATGGATATGGTGAAGCTGGAGCCCACATTCCCCTCACAACATTGAATGACAACTCCATGAACATGCGTATGGGGATCAGAAGGCGGAGGGGAAGAGCAGGACAATGACGCAGGATCAGACATCCTTCACTTTACCTGAGGAGACCTTATCTATCAGAGGTTAGTGTGGTGGAGTTTGTTTTAGCAACAGGAAAATGGGTTAAGTCAAACTGAGATACAAGAAGATTAAATATTCACAGGGAAGCACCATAAACTGGTACAAGCGATGATGGAGTTAGGGCAATTTCCACTAGCTGACGGGCTCGCTCAAGTTTCCCAGTTTATGCTTTCTGGTCAATCCCTAATTGTCTTAAACAAAGTTGTCCCCAAAGGGTACTCTACTGGGAGATTTTTATATATACATATACACACACACACACACACAGAGTCATATACATGTACATACACATACAAAGTCACATTTTTAAAAACTGTTCTCTCTTTTCTCTCTCCAATATCTACGTTAAAAAAATGCTTTTAAAGCTACAGGGTAATGAATTGCTAACAAATACAATGAGAAGGGACAATAAGCAATATTACCAAGAGGAGAGGAGAAATAATTCTCGCTCTTACAGACCTTTCTAGTCCTCCGTGCTGTCAGAATCCTCCCTCTCATTAATTAGCAAAATTAATTATCCAGCTTATGAATTGTGGTTTGAAAAGAACAGAGCTTAAAGCAGCAAGATCTATTAGCAAAGAAAACTAAGGGTTGGAATAAGCTGGTATTATAGACTTGTTTTCTAAAGAGGAAGCATTATTAAATCATCACTATAAAATTAAGTAATTATTTCACTATATGACACCAAACCACAGAAAGGAAAAACAGTTTCATGTCCTATTAGCTAAATAAAGGTCAGTAGGGGTAAAAAGAAAAAAGGAAAATTAATTTCTGAGAGTAAATACAAGTTGGGAGACATGGAGAAAACCACATCATCAAGGGGTGACATTTCCTTCTCTTTTTTTCTTTATAAATATCTCTTAAATTTCTTTAAATTACTGAAATGGGAGGACCTATTCAGTACTATCCTATATCATTCAGTAATAAATAATTATTGCTTTTATTTAGGCATTTCATATACAGAACTTACACAAACGACCTCAACTGAGTATTTAAACCATACAAGTGTGAAATATGCTGTAGCTCAGAAATAAAAATCACTCATCTACCCTTAACTTTGACTCAAGGGGAACATTACTGAGAAAGTCACAACAAGGTGGCATCCTTAATACATAATAATGACACATGCAGGAAATGCACCATTATTTATACATGTGACGTGCTGTAAATTGCTTCCATCATCAGAACTAATTGTAGCGATTATTAATGCAGTGTTATGAACTGTCAGAATTGCTGTATGTAATTACATTTGTGCAAATGCTTCATTACCTGCCTAATGAATTTGGCATATATGCACATGTAAACCACTGTTTTTGTTAACATAATGAAGGGCATTTTTTTCCCCCTTAGCTACTGATGTGGAACTGGTTTGACCTATATTACAAAGTTCAAGCATCCACTGCCAGAACCACCCCCACCCCCCCCCTTTGATCTGGTTTATTTTCATACTCAGCAACAGCATCATATAATGCCAGATACTTAAATAACAGCTTCAGAGAAAGAACGGTGTCCCCCTTATTCAGCATAAACAGCTGATTGAGTTGAAATGACCTTGGTGTGTGGCTACCTGACCGCTACTTCTTACCTTCATATGGGTCTCTAAATAGTTGCAGAGGACAGTTACGCAGACGGCAAGATCTCTAGCACTGAACGGGTACCTTCCATTCCAGCCCTGAGGGCCAAACTTCAGTCTCCCAGCAAGGCAAGTGTGAAAATAGCACAGAGAAAAAAGGATGCTTTTAAATTCTGCTTCTGTGGTACACAGTTCAAGGGTATCCTGTCAAAGAAAAAAGGAATACATTTATCCAGTTAAGAACCGGCAGCGTTATCGATGGCTGTGCCTGCCTCAGCTGCCGAAAGGGAGCACTCACAAGCCTGAAGTTTGAAGGAGAGCGAGAAACAGGTTTCGTAGTGATGACTGACTATTAGGCAGTATTTTTTGCAGTAATTCCCAGAAGCAAAAGTGTTGATGGTTACCCTTCTACTTCCAAATGTCCCTTAGGAAAACTGTTGTGCTACCGAAACCAATAAAAATCGAGACTTTAAATAGAACTCTATAAATATTACTCAGATAACCGCTATAGTTTCTTAGCATAAATCATCCATAGACATTATCCCAAGTAGAAAATTTGCCAGTTTAACATTTATTAAGAAGCTTACTATTCCTTCAAATTTTACAGTTTCCCAAAGAGTCATGTTTGGCATCCTTAATACATAATAATGACACATGCAGGAAATGCACCATTATTTATACATGTGACGTGCTGTAAATTGCTTCCATCATCAGAACTAATTGTAGTGATTATTAATGCAGTGTTATGAACTGTCAGAATTGCTGTATGTAATTACATTTGTGCAAATGCTTCATTACCTGCCTAATGAATTTGGCATATATGCACATGTAAACCACTGTTTTTGTTAACATAATGAAGGGCATTTTTTTCCCCCTTAGCTACTGATGTGGAACTGGTTTGACCTATATTACAAAGTTCAAGCATCCACTGCCAGAACCACCCCCACCCCCCCCCTTTGATCTGGTTTATTTTCATACTCAGCAACAGCATCATATAATGCCAGATACTTAAATAACAGCTTCAGAGAAAGAACGGTGTCCCCCTTATTCAGCATAAACAGCTGATTGAGTTGAAATGACCTTGGTGTGTGGCTACCTGACCGCTACTTCTTACCTTCATATGGGTCTCTAAATAGTTGCAGAGGACAGTTACGCAGACGGCAAGATCTCTAGCACTGAACGGGTACCTTCCATTCCAGCCCTGAGGGCCAAACTTCAGTCTCCCAGCAAGGCAAGTGTGAAAATAGCACAGAGAAAAAAGGATGCTTTTAAATTCTGCTTCTGTGGTACACAGTTCAAGGGTATCCTGTCAAAGAAAAAAGGAATACATTTATCCAGTTAAGAACCGGCAGCGTTATCGATGGCTGTGCCTGCCTCAGCTGCCGAAAGGGAGCACTCACAAGCCTGAAGTTTGAAGGAGAGCGAGAAACAGGTTTCGTAGTGATGACTGACTATTAGGCAGTATTTTTTGCAGTAATTCCCAGAAGCAAAAGTGTTGATGGTTACCCTTCTACTTCCAAATGTCCCTTAGGAAAACTGTTGTGCTACCGAAACCAATAAAAATCGAGACTTTAAATAGAACTCTATAAATATTACTCAGATAACCGCTATAGTTTCTTAGCATAAATCATCCATAGACATTATCCCAAGTAGAAAATTTGCCAGTTTAACATTTATTAAGAAGCTTACTATTCCTTCAAATTTTACAGTTTCCCAAAGAGTCATGTTTGAAATTGAAGTTTAATAATTTTTTTTTTTTTTCCTCCTTTGTTTATAGTGTTAGTAGATAATCTCGGCAAGATGAGATTCTGTGCAGAGCTTCAGCTGGTTTTTAAATTACTGAGACAAACTATTTGGCGTTTTCCTATAAATCCTGCAGAAATTCATTCTTAGTTTTCTGACAGTTTTCTATATTCTATCTTTTAGCTTAAGAAGTAATTGACATAACAAAATGACTTTTGATACCCATAAAAACATAGATGTGTGGAAGGAACTTCAGAGGGATAAACTCTTGGCTGTCAAAAGGAAATAGGTCATCCTGAACTGAACAACAGGTAGCAAAGTCTGAGCAAAGGTGAAGGATTTTATGTCTGACAAAAACCCCTCCTTCAGTCAGAATCCTGAGTTTAACCATGAAAAATACAACACAAGCTTCTATCCTGCAGAAAACCACAAAACATGAAATTTATTCCACCTGGATTAGACATAGTTTTATTTTCTTATTACAATTTTTTTTTCCCCAAAAAATATTAAAATACCTTAACCAGAAACATATTAAAGATGGTGTCTGCACAGGAATTTGAAGTAAGCCGCAAACACCCATGGCTCAAAATAATGGGGGAGAAAAGAGAGTTTTCTAAAGTATCAAGCTTAGAAATTAGCTAATTAGCATACATACATATATATATATTTCTTGAGCTGAACACAGCCTGAAGTGGGACAACAATGCATATGAATTGCCTTTATTAAAAACTGTCTAGCTTTTTCAGCTTTCCATTAAAAATATTATTATAATACGTTCTAAAAAAAGAAAAAATTGCTGCATTAGTAGTTGTCTGTTTAGCTACAAAACTACAGCCATTCTCCCTTTCTCGCAAGTATCTTTCCAAATCACCTTACACCATCAAAAGCAATCTATTTGTAGCCAAGGTAGCTTTGACACATCTCTTTTAGTGCACAGCTCTTTTTTTCTAGGCATTGGTTAGCACAGTTCCCTTTAAAAGAAACTCTTACCCTTTTCACATGCAAGCTCTGCCTTCATGTGTCCTGTGCTCAAATAAATAAATAGATGCTAATGCATTGCTGGAATGCTAAAGTGTACAGTTACGGTTGCCTTTGTCATGGTCTGCTTTGCTGACACAAATAAGCTTGCTGCTCCAGCGCTTTCACAGCTGTGGGGAAGTTGACTGGCACCGAGCTTGAAGATCTGTCTACAAGCTCCTCAGGGTAACAGACCGGGATAACCAGGGATCCGGAGGGAAGAAGACTACGCACGTCCAGTGACACCCCTGTCCTCCACATTCTCATGCCATCTTTCTCCTACTTCTTCTTCCCACCCACCAAGCAGCTCCGCAGAACCTCATGCAGGAAAGAGCGAAAGACAAAACAACAAACGGAGTGTAACCCTTGCTCATGAATTCCTTTCTTTATGCCTAACTACAGAAATTCATACACAGGGTACTGAGCCATTGCCTGAACATCTGGGTACATAAATCCGCTCTGTAGGAGAATGGACATGGTCAAACCAAATTTAGAGCTGAGGAAAATTAGTGAGTACCATCGAATGAAAGAGCTCTGACTTTAGAGCATGGACAGTTTTTTTTGTAAGACTGCACAGATGGGTACAGCTGGTGTGATAAATGCACTTCTTTCTATCTTTGTAAGCATACCTATGCAAGTCTATATCTAAATATTTAATAATACAAGTGTACACATTATTGTCACGTGTTTCCTCCTGCCCAGCATGGATGGGAAACACGGAGGCAGCACAGGGCAGGGAGGGCTGGCATCCTCCAGCTGACAGATTAGTTTGGAAGCACAAAGATCCCAAAGTTCTGCTCTCCCACAAAGCAGTCACCAGCGTTATCACTTCTCCCCATGGGGGAAGTAGTAATTAAAACAAATTAATGAAAAAAAAGAACATCTTGCTTTTACCTGGTCAAAACTGTAGAGTACAGCATGTAAATTAGCCAGCATCCCTGTAAGAAGTTCACTGGTAATTTTAATCGAGTTTTCTAGCATTCCTTGAGGAATGATGTGCTCTTCTGGGGTTGGAGCTGGTTCAGCACTAATAAAGACACGGAAATCAGGATGACTTTCTTCACTGTATTGCTTGAGGAGTTCTTCCAAAGTTCGTAGCCCCTTGGCTACTAGATGAATAATCTGTTGTAAAACAGCCAATATGATTATTGTGAGAAAACAAATAAATTTGTTATCCTTAAGACATTGTTATTGTGGTTTTATAATAAAAAATAGCTAAGTTACTTAATTCAAAGCATCACTTTGTTGTTAAATAAATTGATAATACAAAGAATAAACTTGGAGATTCTTAGCTACTGTGCCATTTTTTGATATCTGTGCAATAACAGAGGTTTCACCATTAGCTTCTAAAGTTTCAGGCCTTGATTCTGAAGCTAACAAAAATATTATAAACTTAGGGTTAAGTGATCTGGGGGTGTGGGTGTTATCCTGTGTGAAGAGAAGCATAACTCAGCAGAGCACTTGGGCTCTACTTAAATTCCCTGTAGAACTGGGACCTAAGACAAACCATGTCCAATGCATACCAGGAGCAAGACTGAAGAAGTGCTAGATAAAGAAAAATGTTTACAGCTATCCTACTACTTAAAAATTATGTTTCATGCCACTTCAGAGCCCAATTGTCTTTAAGATTCTTAATATATGAAGACAGTGGAAAGTCATTAATAGACCAGAGAAATTAGTTATAATGGAACAGTATCGGCCTCCAAAGCACCTACTGGTGAAATACGGGAATATCAAGAGAAAGGTTTACAATGTAGCTGGGCTGCAGCTGCTTTCACCCCTCCATTAGCCCCCACTCCACTTTTTTTTGCAGAACTAGCATTTCATCTCAAATTGCAGCTCAGCCCTACAGCTTCTCTCTGGCTCTTCACTGCTGTGCCAGAAACTGCTGATTGCACTGGCTTCCACCTCCACGCAGCGCAAGAGGAATTGCAACTCCATACACCAGCCAAGGAATACGACATGTCAGTCACGCTCTGGCTGCTGCATCACTTTGTCATGACACCTGCTGAGGGGATAGTCCCAAATTGTCCCTTGACATGTGGAGAAAGGAATAGGGGGGTGGAAAGAGAGGTATGACTTTCATATCACAAGGAAAGAGATATGACTTTCATATCACATTACCTGATAGCAGCCTGGTATTTTCATATAGGCTACATCCATCCACTGCAAAGTGGAAGTGGTTCAAGCCTTAATATACAAAATAACCTTTTGATATATCAGATGTCTGAGTTTGAGACACTAATGTGAGAGTGACACAAGAGTTAAACCTGTAACCAAAAAATTTCAAGTCAGTCTTTCTTCTGCCAGTTTACCAAATGCTGTGCCAATTTGTTTTGCTACTGTTTTTCAGACCTTGCATTGTTTACTCCACAACATACTTGTCCCTACCTCTTGCTCTGTCACCTTCTGGACTTCCCTCAGCTTCGCCTCCAGCAGGAGTTTTGCACTAAGAGCTAGACCTATCTCTTGCTGAGGTCAGTAAAAAATTTCCTCCCTGCTTCAAGGGCATAGGTCTGAAGCCAAGGCAATTTCTTAAGTATTTCCCAGGTTAGTTAGAATAGCAGAGTTTTTAAAATATCTAATTATACACCCCCTAGCCTCCAACAAAATGCATAGTAAAATACTTCATCTTTTTGCTCCAGGATTTTTTTTTTTAAACATAAACATATAGGTATTTGGGCCAAACCCCAGAAGACTGAAGCTTGAGAAGCACTGAGTATATCCAAATCCCACTAGCTCTAGCTGGCTTAGCGTCATTTCAGATTTGGTAAAAAAAAAAAAAAAAATCTTTATTTAGTCTCCTTTCAGACTTTCCCCAACCCTTCACTACCAAAAATCTTCACAGCAAAATTGTCACCTCCTTCCTCCCTCAGAAGCCAGGCATAACGGGCTGGAAAATGGAGCAGGTCTGTAACACCAGAAGCCTCTCAGATGTTCCCCATTTATCCCTGTGGCTTCAGACACACAACACTGCTGATTTAGGGCCTCTGCCATCTCCAATGCTCTTGCCCTGTCCTCAGAGCAACTCAGAACACCACATTTTCTCGCCCTGTCCTCAGAGCAACTCAGAACACCAAAATTCCCCTGAAAACCAACTCTGCTCTTTCCTTCACAACATTTCTATACTCAATAGCAGAAAAGCAGGGTTATTTTCAGACTAGTGTGACTAGCTTACTCGTGCGAAACCTGGTTAAAGAATTCTTCCAGTTTCAGTGTTGATGAAAGGGTCAGTTTGTGTGTGTTTGCCCAGTGCCTAGCACACCAAGGTCCCTCACTAATCCCACGGTGATTTTATTTCAGCTGGCAGACAGCACTGAGTCTAGCCCATCTCTTCATTTGTTGCAGGCAACCTCGTTGACAGCCAAATGTGTATGTTGCCGAGGTTAAAACCAGAAGAGGAGGGAATCATCTGGTCCCCATGACCTCCTTAATATCAAGGCCTGGAACACGCATGTCTTGTTTGGCTTCAGGGCAAAGGGATTGTTACAAATATCCATTGGCTATTTAGCATAAAACGGTGGGAGGGAAGCACCTTCTTTCAGTAGCATTGACAATTGTGGTGCTCCTGCCTGCTCCGTCATTGCACTGGGAACCGCAGCTCGCCAGGGTATTGCACAGATCTTTTCGTCCGCTCCAGAGTGGGTTCTCGGTCCATACAACGCTGGCTAAAGCTGCGGCTGCTATCTTGGAAGAGCAGCACTGCAGGGCTAATTATACAGCTTCCCAAGGGGGAGTCAGACCTGTTTTATTAAAGTCTCCATTATGGCCCGCTGAACAGAACAGGAGCTCTTAATTACACGGGGGAAGCGTATGCCTGAGGGCAGTCCTACCTACCCACCAGAGGCTTTCCGTTTTATCTCTCCTGTTCCTCCTGGGAGAGTGAGGACAGTGTTCAGAAAAACATGACATACACTCTATTAATATGATGTTTATCCTGTTACAATCAAAAGCAAAAAGGAACAAGATTATTAGCTGTTTAAAACTTTTGCTATAATCTACCACATAGTTTGTTTGTAGTCTGGGAATATCCCTCCAACTGAGGAGACAGTCCCCACCAGAGGGGCTGCTTGACACTCACATGGAGAAGAACCCAATGGCGATGTCTGGCAGCCTTCTCGAGTGCCTCCTCTGCAACCATCTCCTGCTCTTGTCCTAAAGAGATGTTGTGAAATCTTCCAGAGTCTCTAGTGAACCCAAGCTTTTTGCCTGTAAAAGAAATAACTGGGGAAAGGTGAGTGACAGGGAGGGAGGAGATAGGAAAATTAGCAGAGCAGAAAGGAAAAAGAATGATAATGCCCCCATTAATTTCACTATCACTTGTGCAATGCATATTACTTCTTCTGAAGCACTTCACTAAATCCTTACAATTTCAACAAGCAAAATTGCGAGCTCTCAACAGTGGCCTTATTGCTGGTATTAGAAAAAGCCCGTAGAAATCTGCTCCCTTGGTTTTAAGATAATGAACCTTTTGACATTTTGATAGATGCTCGGCATTGTTACTGAGCTTTAGAAACTCTTACAGGGGGTACAGAGCAATTCCCTTATGAAAAAGGGAGCAACATGTGGTAGATATCACATCAGTTTTTTAACTGATTGGTTCAGTGGGTAAATGCACAAGCCTCTCACCTTGTGAGGCCTGAGTTTAAATTGAGCACAGTGAGGTCACAGCTGTATTAACCTGGTATTGTCACTATTGTCTGTGGGGAATACTAATCCTAAGTATAAAGCCACAGAGCCCTATACAATTGAATATCATTTGTATAATGACCATTATTTAGTCACAGGGGGCACAAGATTACATGAGCATGGAGAAAATTGCCCTCTGGCCCTCATCTAGTCAAAAGGTAGAAAACAGTACAAAGGAAACCTGCATTATGCCAAGCAGAGGAATGCTCGGTCTAAAAATTTCTTCATACTGTAGTGCTTATGGCCTTACACTTTTCATCCACCCCATTTACCATGAATATGGTGGGGGTGGAAGAAACTTTAGAACTTGAATCTTCTGCTGAAAACCTTGCCCAACTTTCCCATAGTAATGCATACTCCATTGTAGCGACAGATGATTCCAGAAGGCTTTGTTCTGTGTAGTAAAAATACACTCATACACATACATGTGTACAGGCACATACACACAAGCGTATAACCATCTATTGATTTATCTACATTTATAGCCCTGCATGCTCCATTTCATTTTCGAGCTCAATTTTTCTTTCTTTAGTGGGAGCACAGTTGAGTGATCCTTGCACCAGAAGCAAATAAGAGGCTTACTTAGTGTCTCAATATCTTCAAGTGGGTCTTCTCCTGGAGACAGAATGAAAAACACAGGAGTGGCTGGACTGCTCTCTTCATAGGATTTTGCTAAGCCCATCCTTGTGCTTTCCACATATTTTGAGCCAAGCTCTTCCTCCACAAAGTTCCTATACATACAAAAAAACATGCACTAAACACCAAAAACGTTCCCTGACACAGGCTTCAAGCCTGCACCGTTCTCAGACTTGAGTGGCTGACAGCGATCGTCTAACGGTCACTTCATCAAATAAATTGTCAGGGAAGTGAACTGAAGGCAAGAAGGGGAGGCAGGTGGTGAAGCAAGACAGAAGATGATCATTCCCATTTCTCCGTGGGATAGGGGCCACGTGACAGAAAACAGCAGCTTTTGAATGAAAAGGACCTCTTCAATAACTGAATCCAAAAAGTCGTTATATGTAGGCAATACTGTCACGTAAAGCCAGGACAGCTGGGCAGAATAAACACCCAGGACACAAAAAACCGCATTCTCAGAAGGCATGTAAATGGGTAAAAGCTGTGATGGTGGGGTGTGGAGGATCAGGTCTATGAGACCGTCACTTGGGATCAGAAGATTAAAACAGTACAGGTGGAAAACAGCTGGGAGAAGATTGGTAAGTATCCACAACTGAAGCTTTCTTGGTATCACAGAATTTTAAAGAAGGGAGACCTGAAAAATTGTCATCCTGTGGGGTTAGCTATGAGCCCTAATACCATAATGAGAACTAACACTGAGAAATACACTTTTAGCTATTAACACCATAGCTTACTATATTTCTATTTATTAATGAGCACTCTCCTCAAGGTACCTATATGCAATCTAAAAGAAATCACAAACATAGCTCTCTCGCGTCTCACCACACTACTTCTTCATAAATTCTTCACCAGCAGAACAGACTTCGAAGGGCCACAGTCATTGATTTCAAATTCTGGTTAATCACCTAGTTTATAAGTTATTTGCCTGCCTCTTAAGAGCTGAGTTTTCTCCACGCCAACACATACAAGCCACCCTCACACACACTTGCCCTGAAAGATGTACCCTCAGATTTCATACCTAAGAGCATACATCATTCTGTCAGGACGGAGCACCCTCAGTATGATTAATTTCTGAAAAGAGCTTTTTTTTGTCCATTCCTGGGGGAGCTGTTCCTTTTCTGGACATTCTGAGTCCACCCACTTCTTCCACCTCTTGGTGGATCCTTCAATATCTTTGTCTGACCCCCTGAACACATCCATCACTGCCATAGCCTGGAAACATGCCAAAGACATACATATAGGTGATGTACCTGCTGCGTAAAGACTGAAATGGGAAGGCAAATACTGATACTTTTGGGGCATGTAAAAAAACATAGCTTAACCAATTACAAGGGACTCAGGACTTACCTTAAAATACCAAATTACATATACATATATATGGATAATATTATTTATAAGAGTTTACTTTGGTCAGTATTGCCATACTGTTTCCTTACTGTTAAATATCAAAATATGACAAACTGGAAACCTTGTATGGGACATTTACTATAGTAAGGAGTGGTATGAAGATCAAAATTATATTTCTAGGGGACTGGATAAATTATAGTAAAACAGAATTTCCTCACAAAGCACAGTACGTGATGTCTAAGGAAAAATACAAAAAGCAAAAGACAACTCCTCTTTGAAAGCATCACTAGTTCTACTAAAAACTATGGTGGAATGTATGACTTTATCTGAAATTGTCTAGCTGTAGCATGCCTCCAGAAATAACATCAGAAAAGATTTAGAACTGGAAAGCAATTTTCCCAACCTACCCTAATGGCACTCCACGACTGAGTAGTTAAGAAGTCAACAGGACTCTTCTTAGTGTGTTCAACTCTGAATCAAACAAGGAAATCCAATTCAAGGAGTTCTATCTCTTTACTTCTTAGAAGAATCTTGACAGCACACAAAATTGAAAAAGGTCATCAGACTTGCTTCAGAGCCACTTCTGCCTTAAAGTATTCACCGCTCAAAGTATTACTGAGTAGGGAGCTCAAAGCAACAAAAATTCCTATGGCTTTTCTGAAAGCCATTTCCTAAAACTAAAAAAAAGAATTTACTTCTTGTTTTAACGATATTTTAAAATACCGATTTGAAATCTATTGCAAATGGAGTGATTCTTAGATATTAGTCACTAAAGGGTGTGACAAATTTTTTCAAAACCAGTCCTACACACACACAGAGCTGAACTTTCCTTTACCTGTTAAAAAAGACACCATGAAAACCAAACACAACCAGTCAATCAAAACTTTTTGCAGAAAATGTAACTGCTGTTCATTTATGTACTGAAAGACAAATTCACTCAAATTTTAAGGTGAGCTAACCAACAACAGCAGTTATTTTACTTTAGCTTGTGGGAACATAAACAAACATAAAACTGTAAGTCTTGCACACTGAAGTTAAGCTTACATAAATTTGGCCACAAATTATTTTTTACTAATACTACCAAAAAAGTACAGATTTCTGAATCCCACCTAATTATCTCTATGTATCCTTTCTACCTCTCGATAGATAGAGAGAAGAACAAACAGTGCATAGCTGTTTCCATCACCATTCTAGTCCCTCTTCAGACTGCAAGCTGACACAAAGCTTTGGGAAAATTGCAAATCCTGAGTGGTTTTTGTTGGTGGTTTTTGGGGGGTTGTTTTACACTGAATCAGTTCTGGCACATGAGCTGAATGTATACTGAAGAAAACTCCTCGGGTTCTATGAAGGGTTTTTCTAGTTCTTTTATCACTTTAACCACATATAGTGGAAAAGAGAGACACCTTTGCTGTGATACTGTATATTCTCTCTCCTTTCTGATATAAATACATCTTTCTTCTTCTATTAAAAGCCCTCTCTCTTTCCCTCTAAAAATGTATTTAATAAATCAGAAGTTTATTGTGCCCTTTACTCTGGTTTCTGTCTACTCTGTAATTGCGATAGAGCTTATTTTTCGGTTGCCATACAGATTTCCATTCTTCATGATCCATCCCAGTGCCACTGCTACAGAAAAGACAAAAGTTAAGCAACCCAGCGCTAAAAACCAAGGTGATATGAATAAATCCATCTGCACCATGATGCAGAGAAATCATCACCAGTTGTCCTTCCCCCATTTTCTCTCCTTTCTCTTCCAGACATTTCTGTCTGCTTTTAACTCCTATGTAAACACTGTGTGGAGTGCTTCTTTTTTTTCCCTTTCCTCCCCCAAATCGGATTCCTCAATTTATAATTTTTTACCTTCTTCCCAAATTGTTGGTTTCTAGTTTAATTCCTACCTCTGTTACTGATCAGCTCTGTGATACAACCTGGAGCAAGCTCTTCAGGGCAAAATCTGCCACCCAATACAACGGAGTCCTGATTTTTTCCAGGGCTTACAGATAACTAAAATTAAAATGAAAAAATAACAGCCTGAATGTAATATGGATATGTACTGTTTAGTGAATACATATTTTACATACCGCATCAATTTCAACCCTAATTATCCACCCACAAGCAGCTAAGTCATGCTATTTATCCTCAGCATAGTTTCATAAAGTCATTGCAGAATTTTAAATGGAAAGAATCTTTGGAATTTTTGCAATTATTATTGATATTGAAGCAGCAGTCACACTGTGTGAGAAACTGCACAGCCACAAGATAATAAGATAACTTTTTTGGGCAGAGGCATCACCTTCTAGTGAAGAAAGAGCAAACTCAGTAAATATCAGCCTCACTGATCTGAAAGTTTTTCCTCACCTGAAAAGCTGTCTGGGCTAAGAAAATGAGCTTTATCCTTTTCGAAAAGTCCTTGGTGTGTGAAAAGAAAGGTTGAATATGTGACAGCTTCTGTCAGGTTAGAGATACGACACTGAATATCCCCTGATTTTTCAGCCTGCTTAATTGCTTTGTGGAAGACTGCATTGAAGGCCTGAAAATAAATACAATTATTTTCATTTATTTAATTTCAGAATTCTGTTTGTTTGCATTTCTACACACAAGATAATTGGTTTCTGACTGTAGGCTTCTAAGAAGAGCTGGCCTAAGCAGTCTAAAATGCAAGGCACTTCTGCCCAGAGCATTTTGAGGAAAGTTTCTGCAAACCAGGGGTGAGGGCTGCAAATGGCAATACTCTTCTGCTTCCTTACTTAACTCAGCAGGCAGAACCTCTCATGTAAGCAAGCTGGTAATTTTGCAGTGAGTGATCTCCTTTCCTCGTAGCATTAGATCATTTGGTAGATTTGCCACAGTGAATTGTTTATACAGAATCCCTCAAAACTCTTTCTACCTGACCCTGTGGGATGGCTTAACACAAGGAAGGTAAACTGTAAAAGCACAGTCAGAAAACACCATCAGAATGGAGACAGCCGACAAAGAGACCCGTGGGAATGTACCGTGTTATGGACCAGCAGAAGATCACATCGTGTTCTCCTTTCTCAGACACACAGCCCTGCAAATGTAAACATCTGGTACAAGTAATAACTAATATATCAGGCATCACTGCTGGAGGCAGAACTCTGTTTCTTGTGCTTTGAAACCAAATCAGCAAGCTAAATTTATACCTTCAGTGAAAACTGGTAGATGCGGTTGATGTTGCCTAGACTATTGCTAACGAAGTAAAGAATGGATGCTCTTATGGCTGTTGGTCTGTAATGCTCTCTTGTCACGTTAATCTGAGCTTCATTTTCTTTGGCTTCAGCTATCTATAGGATGACAGTTGTCTCATTTATTTTTAATGCGCCATGATTATCCCACACAATTACCAAAACATTCCTATCCGTACAAAAAAGAATGTGGATATACTCTAGAAAACTGACTTTATTTCAGACAGTAGCAAATATTTAAGGTAAGCAAGCTTTTTATCTTACGACAAACATTAGGGAATGCCTGTCCTCTGCAGCAATATGCCTGTTCACTTGTGAAAACATGGAAATTGTATATGAATACATTTGTTCACATTTTATGCTGATACTTCTTTTATGAGTATTAACTCAAGCACCTAAATCAGAAGGGAAAAAAAATGATTATGTGACAACTACATACCATAGATATGAAACTGTGAATATGTGGGTGGACAACACTTGCTGGACAGACAGGAATTGGACTATTCCTAGCTCATAGAAATATTTCACTAAAAATAATCAATAATACACATTATATATGTGACTTTAAGCTGTTAAAAGTAGTTTAACTGTTATTACCTTGTGCTGTATTTCTGCTGCAGTTGACTTTGTTGATTCAAGTTTCTCTACAAGTTCACTGTTGACTAAGAAACTGCCCTGGGCAGCTGACAGGCTGAGCAGCATGTCATCCTCCAGCTGCCTGAGCTCAGTCTTGAAACGGTTCTGCTGCTTGGCCAGGATCAACTAGCATGTAAACAACCGCAGCAAGAAATACTGCTTCGTAGCATTTGTAAGCTATATTTTCTATTTAATTGCATCAGTTGATTTAATTTAAATTTCTGAAAAAGAAAGTTTATCTTCTGTCCCCATACACTAGAACTAAGGTTCTGGGACACTCAAAGCAAAAAGGTCAAGGTCACCACGGACCAGAACTTTATCTCTCTCCTAGCCTCCTTCCTCCTCAGACTACACAAAAAGACTGGGATCTCACCAGAGGTGGCAAGTGGTAATCTATGTGGCAGCTGAGAAAACCAACAGGAGCACAGGGCTGGAGAACCCCACTTCGGCAGCAAGCAGTGTGGGAAAGCATGGTCGTAGTCTGCTCTGCTGGAGTGACCTTCTGACGGTGAAAGAGCTTGACTAGTCTTATGGGGAGGTCTCCATCAGAATCTGACCCTTGCACGAAAAAACCCTAGGTGATACAGGTGTTGTAAGCATACAGGCCCACGTGGAACAATGTGCAGATGCAGAGGAAAATGGCCAGCTGTTTTCAGATCGTGTTCCCAAGCATATGGCTTTCATTCTTCAAGGGGTAATTAAACTCTCTGACCCAGTTTGCCCTTGCATGAAGCAGCAGTACCTCACAGAGGTGTAGCAAATCTTTGTGGATGAAGTTAGTAAATTACATGAGATAACTGGAAAGACACACTAGAGAAATAGGAAGTATTCTTATTATTCATTTCACACCCCTAAGTATTTTTTCGTTTTTTAGCTCATAGATCACAGTCTGCTCAAAGTCCTTTCTATAACCAGCTATAAAAGTGTTTCTCTTCAGAAGTTACTATACATCGGTATGACTGCAGCAGCCACAGAACTGCATCTTTGCAGGAATAAATTATGATTTATTAACCAAATGCCCCAGGTCCTAACAGTGCCATCATATCCTCTTATAGACTGGCATGAAATTTTATTCACACTTATTGGCTCAAGATCACTGAAGCACAAAGCACTGCAGAGGGCTTTAATCCTGCACTGTAAATCAAATGCAATGCACAGAGCAAACCAAGCAGTAGAGAGAAGTGTGGGAATAAGATCACAATAAATTTAATTTCTAGCAGAGCTTTAGGTCAAGCCCAGCCTGCTGGGAGCACGGATTTGAGCGAATCAGTAGAAGTACTTTCTACACTTTGCAGAATCTGACCCTTAAAATCTTTCTAATATACGGGTTACTAATAATTACTGTACAGCAGATTCAAACAGGCATATTAATGCTAGCCTTAAAATCTCAGAAGGGGCAACGGACAGATCAAAAGATAGTCTTTACCTTATGTTTTTCTAAGTCCGGCCTTTCAGCACTAATAACCTCAGCCAACAGCTGGTCTTCCAGCCCGTCCCTGGTGACAGTGAAATTAATGAGGGTGGTCTGAACCTGCAGTTCTGGCTTGTAGTGAGGGTTAGCCAGTTTAGTGTGAAGGATGAGACAGAAATTCTTGTTGAATTCACATTCCTTGTCTTCAATCTTGATATATCTGGGAAGGAATAAAATGCACAAGAATGGGGACCTCACTCAATTAAAAAACCGTAACTATCTTAGGTTGCAAAAGATGGGTACTGCATGATCTTGGCAGCGTAAGAAATGGATACAACTTCAGGTGCCTGCAGCTTAAGAAACAAAATGAGGATGATTGAACACACCAAAATTATATGAAGAATACACAGAGCATTTCTTAATTGGCATAGTTTCATACAGCAGACACCAGTAGATTATTCACTGCTGTACTGAAGAGTCTGTGGGTTAGAGGTAAACGTCTATCTTCATTACTTACCACAAACTTAGGAAAGTTTTCAAACAACAATTAAAGAGATAGCTGTTAGTTCTTACAATAATTTTCTTAAACATAGCTCACTTTTCTACCTTTTGAAATACCTTAGCGGTAAATCCTAAAAAACTAAGCAGATGCATATATTTATAACAAACTGATAGTGATCAGAGGAGAGAGAAGGGCTGGTGACTGAAATAACAAAAATAATTTTTTAAGGCAACCTACTAAATGTTTTGTTCCAAATCAGTTATTTGCTGGGTGAAAGAATGGGTTATACTAGGTTCACCTTTTACTCACTGAATAAGATCCCTTACCGAAAAGATGCCATTTCCTGACCCCTTGTCTTCAACAAGAGGTGCCAGCCTGTCCCATACAGCAACACTACTACTGCTGAAGTACCATTTTAGGGCCCAGCAGTGAGGCAACATGAAGTTCTCCTTCCTACTTCTATGGCACAGCACCAAAAAAAGTGGAAAGACTGCTTATAGATTACCGTGTGTGCTGTGCATCTGGTCTGGTGTGAGGAGGTGCCACAACTTTGTGTCATCTACCTGCACAGTGAGCAGTATGCTGATCGTCAGCCATCACCTGCCACACCGAAGCACAAGTACAATATTTTCTGTACGGCAATGGCTTTGAATGTTCTCTGCCAAGAAAGGAGATCCAAACATTAGTAACAAAATTCTGTTTAAAAAAAGTCAGTAAAACGTTTATACAATGGAACGTAGGTAGACACAAACCCTTTTCACAAAATTAAAATTGACATTTGTTAAGTTAAATCAATCTTCAAAGTGATTGCAATAGTATAGATACTAAACACTTAAAATGCAATTCATGAAAGTTACATCAGAACATGAATAAAACAAGTCTTTTCTGTACAAATTTTAACATTGCTTTCTTTTTAGGGTATTGTAGTGCACTGCCAGAGTCACAGACACATATTTCAGCTCTTAATATCCTTGCCTGCTTCTGACATGCCCTTAGCCAGAAAACATAGGCTAAAAGAAATGGTGTGCTGAAAGCACTTCTGCATTTCACCAGGGATCAGGAAGAAAAGACAATCACTTATGATACACTGCAAGTGAATTCCTAAAAATAACCTAGTATGTCTAGTGCTAGGAAACCCATGACTCTACAAAACTCAACATCAGACATGTATGTTGCATACTACTGCCATGCAAACTACTGGAGATGAGTTTTCCTGGTTTATATGCCTGTATGCTAGTGAAATAATTTAGCCATACAATCACGTCCTTCAGATAATACAACCTTTCCCAGGTGAACATGAATTCACCTTCCAGTTCTGCCACATGGATTTCAATTCTGATACTGTGGTCTCTCCACAACCTTCAAAACTGGCTACAGCTGGAGGGAACAACACAGTAGAGCTTGACACAGAGAGTGTAATTTTGCTCCGCTTTCAATACACACACAGAGGGAAAAGATAGAAGCAGAGATCTGACAAAAGACAACTTTTTCAGTTTGCTTTGTCAGTGGAAAAAACTTTGCTAAGGGAGTGACACTATATTTCAGACCTACGTGGCGATATAATAAGCTCTAGAGTTCTGAATTCAAGCACTTAGTTTATGGGTTCTCAATTCACAGGAGCAATAAATTACTAATTTCTGTGCTTATCATCTGTGAAAGGCAAAAACTACATAACGACTCAGTGGGTTTTATTACTGCAGCTATTCTAGGTTTTCTGTTAATTACAGATCTGGGAAAAATAAATGTTTTGTTATCGCTCTCACACAGTTCAAGGAGTATAAGCAACAACGATAAACACAGAGGTGGGGAAACCCGGTAGAATTGCTTCGGTTTTTTCAATGAAATGTATCTGTTTATAGGTTAATTCTGGATTCTGAAGAAACAGCAGATATAGGCACTATTTAGGGAAGTCCATGATAGAAGGCATAGCAAAAAAATGATCACCAAAGAAATTACTAAAGACAAGTTCTACTTTTGGTAAATTTTTCTTCATAATCTCCTGTTCCACCAGCAGAGGCAGATAGAACGGACTGAACTAATGCACCGTTCTACCCCGGAATAGACAGAGCATCTTTCATGTGAGCTCCAGCTCCCTGTTATTTAGGAACATACAAAGTAAATTAAAAAGAGATTGTTCTCCACTAGTTCTTAAAAAGAGATTGTTCTCCATGAGTTCTTTCCTGCTGACATTCTCATAGATCTTGAAATAAAGTTGATTAAGGGATTCAAAAGAGGTTCGCAAAGCACTTTTAAAATCCTGTATAAACTTTGAAGAATAACTGAGTTTTAGCAAAAGCAAATATAAAAATAAATACATCCCAGAAGATAACAGGAGTGCTAAACTCTCAGCTATTAAAAGTCTAGGAATAGTGCAACATCTGGTCTGATCTGTCAAAATCTGAGTTATTGGCACAAAGAACTGCTTCTCACTTGTGTATGTGCTGCCCAAGGAAACAATGCCTAGGATTTTCAAAGACAGGATCTGAAAGATGAAAAAATCTTGAATATAGGAACATGACTTCATATCATGAAATGGCTCAAGAGTTTATGCAAAAACTTTTCTTAGCAGATACTTTCATGCAACTCGAAATTAAAAAGAGTACCTTTCAGGGCAGACATTCTCCAAAACATGCCATGACTCTAAATGGCAGAAAGTAGGATAGTTTCCTGTAACTAAATGTTTTGGATCAGCTCAGCAAGAATGAAAAGAAGTGATAAATTCTTGGACAGGAAAGGAAAGGGAAACAATATATTTCAGTGTGAAGAAAGAGGGATAAACACATTTTACGAAGGAGCCTTCTTTCAGTTCCTGCTGCTTAAAATTAAAAGCTTCTGGAACCGACTTGCAAACTTCAACAAGTAATGTAGAGAATGAAGTTGAATAAATCAGGTGAAAACAAGTGCAGAATGGAGCTGTTACTAGGCAATCTCAGTAGGCAAACTGTGCAAGTTGCTCAAACTAGTTCAGTGGGAAAAGCACTGCCTTAAAGTTGCACAGCTGGCAAGACGTTCAAGGCAAGCAAAGCTTCTCCCTGTGGAGAAACTGAGTGAATTGTCTTGCTGTTTCATGAATAATAGTCATGCTTCATAAGAATGGAAACTTGTTCATACAAGCTACATTTGCACATAAATCAAATTTCAAGACATCTTAAAGAATCTTGTAATAACCTAATCTTGCAACTGAGACATGACTACCACTTTGTGAACGTGCAAAGGATTTGAGCAGGTGTGACAACTCATGTGAATGCAAATAGGGGCCTTATGAACAATGAATTTATTCCTCTATCTTCTCTCCTATGAGTCAAAATGACATTGATCTATTATAGTTAATGTTCATATCCAGTGATCTCCAAAACAGCGGTGCTGGGGAGACAGGACAGGAAACACACAGATAAAACTCAAATATTAAAGCCTATCCATACCAAATCTATTCAATAGCATCACTCCTCTTATAGCAGGCGAGGGCCAAAACCCAAAACCGTATAGAATTGGTACCTGTTTACTTTTATGCCTTGATTTATCTGCTCCAGAAAATCTAAATACGTGCATTTTGAATCATTTTTGCATATATTGCTAAGAAGTTGCACCCAAATTTTACTTACTTTTGTTCCTGTGCCTTTCATACTTACATAAAGCTATGTACTACAACTGATATTTTTTGGAAATTATTTTATTCTCTTTTGTCTTTTCTCCCTCTTCTTAAAGCAATCCTAAAATATTTTAATAAAAATCTTAGCATTTTAAAGCCATTTTGAACATAAGGTCACAGTCTAAAGTGTATTAAGACCCACTGAGCAGGTTTGCAGCTCCAAAATTAAAATTAAAAAAAAATCCAAACTTGAACACCTAAAACTTGTTAGGTTTCTAAATATATACCGAGGCACTTAAGCAAGAAGTCTGATTTTCAGAGATAACAAGTACCTGTAGTTCACCCTGCAATCACCCACATTTTGAGGAAAATACAAATTTATACATATATTTGAAGTTCTCTGAAGCTGAGAATTTGTTTTGCAGGCTTCATTCAGAAACAATACCAGAAGTTGGCGTTACAGAATATCCAAGAGTACAACACAAGAACAATCTTGGTAAAGAGGGATGGGGAGATATACTTTTATGAAGCTACTTCACAGATCAGCAAGTTCTCTAATATGCAGGCTAGTAAATTTGCTTTGGAAGGAGTACAAGTTGATAAATCTCCCTTGCTATGCTTTCTGTCGATTGATATGATAAGATATATTTTACTTAAAATTAGGATTGTCTGAAGCTCAGTGGATTTAATTATTTGTAATTATCCAGTTGTTGTCAGTATGTGGCCATTTTATGACAGTGGTATCTACTGTGTGGGTCAGGTTCAACTGTATATCTTTTCAAACACAGAATTAATGTACTATTGATGAAACCATTACTAGAACCAAATTAAAGTCTGAGCTGATGTATTGGTCCACAGGGTGCTGTCAGACATGAAAGGAGTAATTAGTATTCATTACTTCATACTCTGCAACATTCCAATTATTAATGAACTTCAACTGCTGGACTACACCATATCTATCACAAATACCTTTCTAGTCTTTCTTTATTAGAAAAAAAAAAAATCAAAGTGCCTGACACAACTACTAAAATAAACAAATAACAGAAATGAATCCAGAACGAGGAAAATTCTGCTTATTTGGTAATAAAGGGATATATATATTATCAATGCCCCACAAAGGAGACCTGCCGCATCTTCAGTGAGCCACAGAATGCTAGGTCGTGTAATGCTGCTAAAATATTCACCAGAAGAACCTATATTTGAATAGCTTCATATATTTGTGTTTGTGTCTGTGTGCAGGTGTACAGCTCTGCTGTGCTACATGGAAGCCTTTGCTAAGTAAATGCAAAACTGTATTGCTGTGACCCTTGTCCTTTTCAATCCAACTTCTTTCTACTGTTTTACATCCCTCTGTCTCATGCCTTAAGACTTGTTAGACCGTGCAATTTCTGATCTCTCTTTCAGACCAGTATAATTCTAATTTTCAGCAGACTTTCTTCACTATAGATTCTAAAAAGCAAGCTATATGATCTTACACTGAAGTACTTCAAATACCATTATAGAAAAATGCAACAAAAAGGAATAATTTCAAGATCTCACAGTGCAGGGCAAGAGTGCATCTTCCAAGGAGCTTCATGCATGCAAGGAGATTTGAGCTGTTGTGTATTGCTTAGCTTTACTGTGCAGGCACCCATGCCTGAAATATGGGGGAGGGAGAAAAAGCTTGGGTAATCTGTCCAAAACTAGATACCATTTTTATTTAACCTATCTTGCATATTTTCTCTTTTAACAATCTGAAACTGTGCCAAGTACTCTAAATACTGAGTAACATTTGAGACCCATCCAGAAATGCTTCAGGGGTATCTCTGACTTTTATCAGAATAAACATCATATTCTTCAACATGAAAAATCTAGCTTGTTGATGTGTTGTTTGAAAACAGGAACAGAAGAGAGGAACACTTTCAGGCTTAAAAATAAATTCACATTTGAACAAAGGCAATAACATGGCAATTGAGTTCATCAGATGAAACATTTAACGAGGTTTACCAAGTTTACTCTCATGCAACCACAAACCAACATTATTCTTTAGGTAACAGCTGCCTTGAAGACTCAACAATCGTGTTGGAAGTTTTCATGAAAAATGATGGAAGACATTACAGACTGAAATTCTCTTGCACCAAGGACTTGAGTACAAGCTCCTTTACTTTTCCTATTATCATCCTGAAAATGTGTAACTAAAGGTATCTTAACTAGATCTTAGGAAATATTTTTGATGATATTTTCTAAATTTTACAACAGTTTTTCAAAATCTAGGGAAAAAGAGGGCATGGGAATGAAAGATGAGATTCACAGACATCCCCCACAAAAGGTCAGAACATGAGGTTTCCCTCCCTTGTACCATCCACCACTCCTGCCACAGCAGTGTGAGAACAGGGAAGACGCATTAACTCAGCCCTGTGTTACCGGATTCCAATCTGAATCTCCCACTTGAATACCCAGCTACAGACCTCTGGGGTGGAGCTCACACGGCTCTCAGAGCTGTAGTCCTTCCATTGGGAGGGAGAGGTCAGAACAGTCCCTGTACTCGGGTATTTGGAGCACTTGCGTGAGAAATGGGGCATATGAGTTTTGGTGTTAGCAGACTAGGTTTCCGGCTAAAACTGAAGAGAGAGCAACACCACCACTACACCACCATCCACCTCGATGGATTTGGGAACACTATCCACTGGTTTGATACACGGGACGTTGGCAGCAATACCGATGCAAAGAGTTCCCATCTCTGGCTTGCTCATCTCTGCCCTGTGTTGTAGCATATCAGTTTTTCCTCATTAGCTTCTCTTCTCTTCTCTTCTCTTCTCTCTTCTCTTCTCTTCTCTTCTCTTCTCTTCTTCTCTCTTCTCTTCTCTTCTCTTCTCTTCTCTTCTCTTCTCTTCTCTTCTCTTCTCCCTTTTTGAGCCAGTTCATTGATTTGTTTCAGGGGGTGGCCCAACAAACAGTTATGGCAACACACTGCAAAGTGGAGGCATGGTTTTCTTATGCTGATACTGCAGCTGGAAATCCCTATATTGTTAAATCCAAGTCTAGCCTGTCATTTCCAATGCTTTCCCTTTTGCTACAGATGCCTAACATGGAAATGAAATATTTTCTTTTCTTTTGAGCCAAATTATAATATATACTCCTCCTTGTTTTGTGCCTTTTTTGAAGTAAAAGAAGTAAAGATTTTCACTTTGGGTTGACAAACTCACACACATATTGTATTTTGAGTCCAATTTGCGAATTGAGAAGAGAATTTTGTTATCTAATCAGATGCAGATACTAGCATTGCAGATAACTCATCACCAGTTTTTAGCCATTGCATTTTAAAAAGAAATAAATAACTTAATGAAGAGTTATGAAGTAGTAAGCAAAATGTGGCAATCAAAGCAATATAGATCCAGTTGTCATGGAAAAATTCTGATTACTCAAGTATACTTACTTTCCCTTTTTAACTGTGTTTCTTCCAAGCAGGGGATCAAGTATGGGATCAATAGATTCACCCACATTTTCGATTAGTACAATCTCTCCACAAGCCAAAGCTCTTTCAATGGTCTTCAGAAAACCTAACATGAAAAATAAAAAAACCAAACCCTCAAATATTAGATAAATGCTGCTCATCGAAAGATTTCTTTCCTTAATAGAATTGGAGAAGTTTTTCTAAAAGATCATGGCTAAACCACGCAAAACCATTCACAAAGAATTTCCCAGTGGTTAAGAACTCGACAGTTTTGAGTTCAACATCTTTACACCTATGCTTTTGCTAGTCCTCATACTAAACAAAAAATATATTGCTGGGGCTTTTCTTATAAGCAAATATGAGGATATAGCCCCACACTGAAGACATTGGAATTGACATAGAGAAGTTGGGGGGGCACATATATCTTCTAGCTTTTGTTATTTTTTTAATTATATGTTTTTGTGTTATAGCTTTTGGTATATCCTCATCTACACTATAAATGCTTTCTTGAAGGCATTGCATCTGAATGACTTGGAAGTCCTCTGTTTTAACAGGCACTGAGAAGAGAGTAGATAATTGTGGAAAGATAAGTAAGCAGACAATATAGCTTCATGCAGAAGGGTACTGCAGGGTACGAATGAAAATCACAATTATTTGTGAGGGTTGGAAAAAGAATTAAAAAAAATTCAGGGCAGGTGAGGGAAAAGAGTTTGTTCAGAGGAGCAGACCAGATAAACGATTAACAATTCATTTAAAAATGAGGCATTACTGTGACCATTTACTGTGCTGTGTAATTGTGTGTTGTATCTGGAATTCAGTAAAATAAACTCAGCCCTTTGAAATGGAGCAGTTAAATCTTACCTAGTTGTCTCCCTAAATCAAAGTAAACATGAGAAAAAATATGAGCAGATCAATTACGTGCAAGTGCTATCAACTTACATATAATTCAGTAATAGTAACGAGAATTAAAAACATGTTTCTCAGCAAAAGACTTGATAACCGGCTTTTGCCTTGAATGCCATACACTAGCTTGTGTCTTTCCCTCTGTAAGGTGCACGTCCTGTGTTCTGCTGACTAAACTGTACAGTATAAGCAACGTCATATCATCAGGATTTGCACTTTACCTATTGAAAAAGTGATTTGCCCCTCACAAGAAGGGCACCTCAACTTCCACTTCGTTTCCTCCTCAACACTTGAATATAGCATAAAAAAGGTCCTCTTTCAAGCACCATTTTAAATGGAAAATGATGCTATGGATAAATAAGCAGTAGTGATGTAATATTTCAAGTCTTCAAGTAAGTGCATTCCAACAAACACCAATTCCTTACAAAAATTAGGGGAACTTCAGGGCAGTAAACGTGAAAGCCAATTCTTCAGCATGCACATACCCTTTCTGTCCTAGATGTATGACTTTAAGGTCAGCTCCATATTTATTCTTTATCCATTTAATTCCCTGTTGCTGGGGTTTTATCATCAGAAGCCAGCGCTCGCAGTTTGTTAGAATAGTGGCATTTTCTGTTGACATCCTATCACCGGGCAGTCCCTCGTTACTCCACGCTGCAATCGTAGCATCATCCGTCAACGTGACAATCGGGTCCAGGCCCTCTGCCACAGGAGTAGGAACCTTTGAATCAGAGTGGAATATAATCATCCAGCAAGGTTACCAAGCAGCAAGACATGACTCAGTGCAACGCACAAGATAACTGGGGTGATATAAATTAAGGCTTTCTAGGCAGAAAAGTAAGGAGGATCCCTGTGGAGTCTCAGATGCAAAAGACTATACTAGGAAATGTGATGAGAAGCAGCTTATTATATAAGAGATTTTAAAAAAATGTGTTTTCGTTTAAGACATTTACTTCATAAAATATATTTATAGTTTGATAGAGTTAAATAAACACCATATAGTATAAATTTTAGTGTATACAGATTCTGATATTGCAAATTCAATGCTCACGTATGCTCTTGAGCATGTATTTCTGGACCATAAATCAGTATTTATCTACACAAAAATTACAAAAACAAGATTCCCATGGTATCTTATTAATATAGTTCAGCTATATATTAAGAAGGTCAAGAGCTAGAGAATGGGACCATCTCCAGGGGCAGAGGCAGCCTTGGAGCTCCGTGCGCGGCACCAGCTGCGGCGATGCTCTTGTGTGAGTGCCCGTTCACTAAGAAGGAAGCTGCCATCTCCACGTACACTAGAGCAGCCGTTGGCCAGCCACGCTTGCTGGCTACTATCTTGTCGCAGGCATTTACAAGGAGATGAAAACAAAAAGAAATGGAACATCTGAAATCTGTGCTTACCAAACGGGTATGGGTGGGAAGAGAAATGCCTAACGCAACACAACAGAGTAAGAGAGAGTTAATAATTAAATTTTTCCTTACTGAAGCAAAGGGCAAACCCCCACCAATTCCTTCATGATGTTATCCCAGACCTCCTTATTTGTGATTTCTGGATTGAATTCTAAACCCATAAATTAAAGGAAAGCACAGCATCATCAGTATTTAGCCTGAACTGTCTTCTACACCATTCAGAAGTGTTTTAAAAACTCTTCCATCAAAATTTTCCTCCTCCCTAGACATGTATAGTCCTTAGTGCTGGCTTGTAGCCTGGAGATTCTTTTAAAAGTGCACACTGAAATAAAAAAGCATGTAAATCTGGTGGTTATTTATAAAGAAAATCATTACATATATTTAAGTTGTGCCAAATTTGCACAATTATTAGTATGAATAAGAATGGCACCATATGTCTAGTGCAGTTTCTGCGGCACAACATCATAGTTACCATATTATTACAAAATACATACCACCTGAAAATTGTCTAACCCCTGATTCTAATCACAGAGCCCAAAATAAACCTAACTTTTGATGAACTTGCTGAAAATACAAGCACAAAAGGACCAACAGGCATACACTCCCCTCTGCAAGCATGCAACGTATTTATCTCCTGTGTGTAACACATTTATCTAAATACACCAGAAGACTGAAAATATGATTTGTTTTATCTCTGGACTGTAAGGCAAGCAATACAGTCATTTCCATGAGCTGAAATACTTCCTTGTGGAAAACACTAGCGTTGGGGTATTATCAGGGTTTCTAATACAAATTTTCACACAATGCAAGAAAAATATTTTAATATATAGATATATCTATTGTCCCCATATCTGCACAAAACTGATACTTCATGGCATAGAACTACTTGTTGTTCCTTCTAAAGAGGACTATTAATAAACATCTATTTTTAACATCACTTCCCAAATGCATTTCTCTCCTCTTTTCCACTCTTCCCCACTTGTAGGAAAACAATCAAGACTGAAATGAGGTATTTTATCTCACTGCCATTCAGTGAAAGCATCTTAAAAAGTAAAAAGTGACAATATGGATTATTTTTATTTATAAAAATGTTCAATCCATTTTAGAGGATTCTTAAAAGAGTTAAGAATGACACTTATTTCCAGGGTCCCACTATTTAAAACAAATATACAGGGGTAATTTTTTCTACCTATCAGCATTAGGCTGCAAGGTAGAAGGAGGTTTTTGAGAAAGAACTTTATCTGCAGACAAATTTTTGGTGGAAAAGGACAGGGATATGTTTCAGGCAAAACAAAGCTCCACGCAAATCAGTGACTCTTAAATTCTCGCACAAAGCAAACGTCTACAAAAAGATGCCCCCGCAGTTCTGAGTGCTGACCATGGAAAGCTTGGATTTGGCTTTAACCGTATTTCCAGAGTGTCATCAGGCAACTCAGCTCGCCCGCTGTGCCTTAGCTTTGTGATTTAAAATGGGGTAAGAGTTCCACATGTCACATATTTCAGAGAATAAACTACATTAATTGTGACACAATGCTGTGATTTGTGGCACAAGAGAAATAGGAAACAAGTAGGAAGAGGTGAAGAGCATTTGCAGCAGTAAGGAAGAAAGGAACGGTCCAAAGCTTCACCAGGAAGGATGGAGAAAGCTTTGCAGAGACAACTCCAAGCGTTAGAGCCTCCATGCATTTATTGAGTACTATCATGGTTTCCTCCTTGTACAGAGCAATGGGGATTATCATAACTACATGCTCTTCCTGGAGCTGAAAAGCTAAGCAGAATAGCTCTCTACACAGCTCTATCACTATTTATAGCATTTGTTGTTACACAGGTGTCACAAAAGACAGGATTTGGCATTGAGAATTGGAAAGGGAAGGGATTTTCTTTTGCCAAAGAGAACTTAATCTCTCTCTCCCATTCCCCTCAAAATGTGCCTGTAATCTGAGGGAAGTGTGCGTGTGTGTGTGTATACATATATACACACACATATTTATACTGGAAAAATACCTGCAAAGAGTATTTTATAGCCACTTTTAAATACAAATCTGTACTTCAAATTTTTGAAAGACAGCAACTTTAACAAACCAGACTCTTCACTGGAGACTCCCATTTTGTACAGCAAATTTTACCTTTTGTGACTTTAGAAAAGGAATCCAGAAATGTTCCATCAGTTCCTAGCGATACTGTTTTGTGAAGGGTCCAAAGTAAGACACAAATGCTGCTGTTAATATGATGTCACTGCACAAAGTTTTCTTTTGTGCTTTGATGTTTTCAACAGACTGGCTCCAATGCCACGTCTTCAGACTCCAAAACAAAATTAGAAAATGTCGCCTCCCGAACAACTTGGAAGTGACAGAACGTTTAATCTCCACATTAAAAACCAGAAGCATGCAAAAGCATAACAGGAAAGATACTCTGTCAGCAAGAGATATGCTTCCTAAGACTGCAAGGCTGGAAACAATCCATAATTTCTGGTGGTGATTTGAAGCCTTTGAATCTGAAAAAATACGATGGAGCTCTTCATCAAGTATTCTATGTCCTTCCCTTTTCTGATTTTTTTTCAGTAACAGTGCTTTTGCCTGGACCAGATACAGTATGGCAGACACACGGCAATACTGGCAGCATCGGGCATGCTACTGCCAGGTACAGTATGGCAGCAGTGCCTAGTGCAAAGTGCAATCATTTCCAGCAAGATTCAGAAAAGGCAAGGAAACAAGAATATTAGAAGAAAAAGAAATATGAAGAAATGAGAAAAAGCTGTTTCAACCTCAACAAAGATGTGACTTCTCTTTTTTTCTCACGCTTTTTTGCAAGGGAAGGGGCAAGGCAGAAGAGTTGCAGGTTTTTTTTCCTCTTATTTGTCTGGCTTGTTTTACCTACAAGAAGTAGGTACAGAAGCTTTACTGAGTTAAAAGCTGTAATGATTTGGAATTTCAACAGGAGGAAAGACGAGGGCGCAGGTTGCCCAGAGAGGTTGTGGAATTTCCTTCCTGGGAGATATTCAAAACCTGACTGGACATGGTCCTGGGCTATCTGGTCTAACCAACCCAGTTTGAGCAGGCGGGGTGGACTAGATGATCTCAGAAGGTTCCTTCCAGCCTCAATGATTCTGTCAAAGTTTAACTCTAGAAATTTTCTTCTTCATATTTCCCCCCCCTCCCCAGAAAGCCCCGATTTCTGGAATCCCTTGCGCACTTTGCAGAGTTCATTTTCACCACGCTTACTCTGGGACATTTTGGATGAATAGTCAGGAACGGTCTCAGATATTGATGATTTCTTATTAGTAGCTATATGGAAAGCTGTTATTTTATTCCAGTTACATTGTAAAGACAGCCCACCATTTATCTAAAATGTTGAAATGGTGACTAAAGAATTTCAGAGAAACAAAATTATCTTCTTTAAAGAAAGTTAATGTTTAAGATATGGATCAAATCATCATCTCCTTTTCAATCGGAATTTATGACATGGTATAAAAACCAAACTAGCAGTATTTGGCACATTATACATTGATTGGTCTGTGTATACAATTTCCAGCAAAGGAATGAACGTATGCATGAATGTACGCTCAAATAGTTTCAGCATGGAAAGGAAGGTAAAAATTGATCATCCATTAGAGTCATCTTCAAATTGATGAAATTCTAGATGTAAAATTGGAATAGACTGCCATAACCTTTCTTCCTTGTTTGTGCTGTTTGAAATACTCAGGATAAAATAAAAGTTGTTTCACAGTTTGTTCACGTGCATCAGGGAAACCTCAGGAAATCATTCTCCAGTGAGGAGAGGGACTGAAGCAAAGAAAGGGCCAGCATGAAAGAAGGAAAGCACGCTGCTGAGCAACTTATGACTGTCGTTTACCCACTGTCCATACAGACATTTATTTTTCAGAGCAATGATAGTAATCAAAACATATTTTTCCAGTCCTTTACATGACGTAATCAAAATCAGTGAAAATCACTGAATAGAAAGTATCCTCCATACTTCAAATAATTTCATGTAATTTCATGAGAGCTTAAAAGAATACTTAGATGTGCTCACTCCTGAAAGCCTTAAAAATATATAAAATCAATCTCAAATAACAACTCACTCTCATTTTAAAAATAAATTTCTGTGTGTACAAAAACAAAGTAACAAAATAATTGTTAAATTTTATATTCATGAAGTATTTTCCATCTATATTTTTTCAGAAAAATCAGAAATATTTACTGAAACGGTTAAACATCCTATCCTGCAAAGACAGACACAGAATTCTACGATAACAGAAGACTCAAACTCTTTTGTTATAAAATAGGAATATAAAATATCCACTAAGAAAATGAAAGTATCTTTAACCAAAGTACTGTGCTTAAAAGAGTTAGCATTTAAATGTTTCACAGTGTAAACGCAGGAAGTCAGTGTGTGAAGGCCTCTGAAACCCCAGTTACGTTCATAAGAGATGCCCAACAAATGACAAGTAAAGGACTATTCCTGTTGAAAGCTCTAACAGCAATCTTTGTAATGTAGCAGTTTTGTTTTGAAGTATTTTAGACATCCTTTTTTTCCTACAGAAGTCATTGGATTCTTCTTTAAACCATTAACTGAAGGCAACAAGACAATAAATCCATTAATTTACAAGAGGGTTTTTTTGATTTATCTATTCTCTCTTCTTGTTGTCACTGACTGGTAAGTCATAAACAATAAAGAGCACCCACCTCATTCTCCAAAATAGCTTTGAAATTTGAAGATTTACTAAACATAGAATGGTTGTCTATTTAAATCTTCAGTAATTTTACCATACCACCCAAGCACCATAAATCACTAGTGACATTGGCTAACAAGGGTTTAAGAGTTGGAACATGCAGTGTAATAAATTTCCAGACAGTTAAAAATCACTATAATTTTATTCTAATGCATTATAGATTGCCTGTAATGTCATCCTGGCCGGGGTGACCCATTTCTAATTTTGAACAGCTGTTCAGCTCGGGAGTTAGTTAATGATTAAATATAAATTGCCTGATTTATTAGTGTGAATGGTTGAGCTTCCAGGTCAATGCTATATAGACAAAATCATCAGTCTTGATGCTTATCAGAAGTTAACTGTCTCCTGTTCTAGTCAAAAAGAATTTATTCTCAGAGGAAAAGACTTGACGTTCTCAATTAATCCTTTTAAATATTTTCCCCCTTAACTTACACAATAAGATCACTAATAAAAACTCAAATCTTGGAGAAAAACTTCTTTTAACTACGTAGAAACCTTCGAATCCAAGACTCAGAGACTACCTATGGGCAAAGGCCATTGGCTTCCACAGAGCTTCCAAAGGCGTTGGGGGTCTGCAGGGTCAGGCTAACGGTGACTGTCTCGGGCATCTTGGGGCAAACAAAAGTTTTCATGTGCAGATAGTAACAGTGACTTCACTGTTTTTCTACCAAAGCAAAGATAATCTATACATTTTATATTTCTAGACATATTAATTTCAGAATCGGGTATCAAAAATGGATCTGTTTTAATTGCACTGGGGGGGGGGGGTTGATTAGTTTTTTACTCTTACATTAATTTGTTTCTAAACTGATTTAATCTTCTTGATTGCCAGCCTCTGCCGAGAGATTTGCAGAAACAAAAGTATTCAACTCTGTGATTTTAGAAAGCAAGATCACAGGGATTTTATGAAATGCAACTTAAAATATTTATTCAGACTACCTTGGGAACTAACATAGTAGTGTAAATATTCTTTGTACTTTTTGTTTCCTGTTATTTACACTTATTTGTCAAAAAGGAATGGTTAAAATTCTAGATGATGAATTGAGATGGCACGATTTCTGTAAAGACTTAGGAGAGACTGCACAGCTAAGCTGTGGCTGACTTGAATGGTTACTGACCGTTAAATAGCCATGTGTTAGCTTTAATTATGTTTGTCTGCAAATAAAGGTAATAACCACACTGAAATATATATAATTTTAACATAAATACATTTCATTCTTATTTAAAAATTAATAGTTTCTGCAAAAGGAAAAAACCAAAAGCAAACAGCAAATATCTGACCGGTGCCTTCCACTTATTTACAATCTAAAGTGCAACGGGGGCAGATGCAGGGTGACTCCATCCTGACCTAGAGGATTATTCAGTCTTTCTGCTCATTAACTAGAGGCTGCCCAGCCTGTCACAATGTGTTCACAGTTGTGTATAAATGTGGTGACTTAGTTATCGAGACTTCTCTTTAGCAATCATGCCAATATTAGTTGTTCAGCAATACATGATTTTTAGGAATTTTACTTCTCAGGATTTTATTATGGGTTTATTTGTGGTTTGGGTTTTTTTTTCCATTTAAATGATTTCTAATAAAAGTCATCTTGTGCCTGTCCCCTCTCCCCAGTCTTTCTCCCCCCCCCCCCCCCCAAAAATACCTCACAAAGGCAAAATCTTCTTACCTCAAGTCCCTTGACCCCAGCCTGTTCCAGCTCAATAGTTTTGTTTGTTCGATTCACATCATCTTGACATCGGACTTTCTCTGCAACTGCTTTCTCAAGTGAAGCTGTGAGCTTACTCAGATTGCTATCCAGAACCTATTCAGAAAAGGGATGGGTAAATACTATAACTTAAGGTTTGTTGGGTTTTTTTGGTGTTGGTTTTTTTATTTTATTTTATATAATGTATTTTAATGACAATAATTGTAGACAGTACTTTTAAATCTGAAGGATACAAGCTTTAGAGGAAAGGTTTTGTTGTACTCTGTTCTTTCAACAGCTCCTAGCACAACGTAAGTATGCTAACTAACAACAATTTGGAACAAAACCATCATTAGAATACCTTACCAAATATCTATTTAAATGGTGGAGATCAGGTGCTTGGAGATAATAATACAAAGAGAAATGTTTCTGCACGACGACAATGGCCTGTATTGCAGTAGGATCTAGAGATCACAGACAAAACTGCAAGTTTATTGTGCTAGATTCAGTAACAAACATCCTAGGCCATTTTAACTATGTCCTATGCATTCTAGAGCATTTAAAATTGTGCCAGAGAGAAAAAAAATTGCAAGAAAAGAATTATTATTTTTATTTGGTATACGAGCCTGGTGGTATAAGAAGATCCAGCAATTTGCTCTTGGGCAGAGAGGATGGTTTCACCAGTGGCAGAAAACAAGCAGATCTCCTGCATGCTAATCCACACCTTCACCAAAGATCTTTAGCCACACTTTTATGCACTCTGCTCAAAAGGCAGCAACATGCCCTCCCTCTGCTTTCAGGAATTTAATACTGAATGTACCTCAAATCAATAGCAGCCACTGCCCACCCCCAAGTGAGATCCTGCAAATTCCTTCTCAGGCTGCTCGGACCTTTTATTTTCTTCAGTCTCTATCACTCCTGCCAGACAACTGGTAATTTGCTGAGCTGCAGCATTTTCTCCAGATTCTCTTAACTGAGCAGCTAGGATGACATGGGATTTTTAGATAAAAATATGTAAAATTGTTTCTGTTAATGCCTACTTAACTAAAACAGCTGAAAGATGCTTGGCTGAGGAGCTATCTTGTTATTGTTGTTGAAGATACAACACCCTGTCTTTCTGAAAAAGTCTAAGAAATATGGTAATAATAAGTTAAGAATAGTTAGTCAACAAAACAGGGGGGGGAGGAAATTACAAGTTTCTTCTCGTTGTAAAAATAAAAACTCCAAACTACTGCATTTGTTCATCAAAAAGAACCAAAGAGAGAAAAACCACCCACAATGTGTTTATCTCAGTTTTCCCTTTCATCAGGAAGATAAACACTTACATTCTTTCCTACTGTATCAGAAAAAAAGAGAATCCTTTCCAGCTCAGCAAACGAAGACGACCTAATGAAAAGAAAGGTGTTAAAAAAGTCAGATAGTTGAGTGATAAAAGCTAAGAGGTTAACACCTTGAAAAGTACTATTTTTACAAATAATCAGGTGAGGCAAAAGTTGAATACAAGAACAGGACTTGAAAGACCATTTTGAAAAAAGAAAAGACAAGGCAAGGCAACAGAGGCTGCAGCAGGCAAGTTGCCTGAAACTGTTTTGTTTCTCTAGAGTAACTACAGAACTAACAACAGTGAGTTCCACTTTAGAACAAAATTTTCCCATCTCAGGTTTAATGGAAGAACCGTAACAGGAGCAAGGAGTGCATACCTCCACAACAGCTCTGTGGTTTTGCAGAATAAGAGTTAGGGCTCATCTGCCAAGTTTAGTGCTTGAATTGGTGGTGTGCAATCAGGAAATTTCAAAGTAATATATAAATTAAAAATAAGAAATTAATTGGGAAAGGGGGAAAGATGAAATTACAACTTAGAGCTTGATAAAGAAGGTTGACTTTATTTCTTAGGGTTAATGAGGCAGCCAATCCACTTTTTAATGGTGATGGATCTTAAACTGATAGACTAATGAGGACTTCTGCTCAATAAGGGCATCTCACAGAGATGGGCTACAAGTAAAATTTCATCAGTCTAGCATGCAAGGCATAAGAAGAATGAACACAGAAACAGTCCTCTACTCTCTCTCTCTTTTTTTTTTTTTTTTTTTTTTTTTTAAGAGAGACATTTTTCTAGGCATCATAATGCGTTTGCCTGCATTATAACATAGACCTGACCATAGTTCAGGTCCACTCATCCATCAAAGGCTCAGGTAGTAAAGGTGGCAAGAACATTCTTCTGCAGTGAGACAAGCAGTAAGGAATGCCCCAACATCTCTGGAGGGGGTTTTTTTGGTACATAATAGTCTCCTTTATCAGAGCATTTCCTATTTCATGACTTTTGAATAGGAAAGGTGTCACTACAAAACACGCCATTCCCTTTTGTCATTCTTTCATAGGATGTAACATAAATAAAGTTAAGTCTAGCAACAGCAGGATTACAAATTGCATTTTATACCCCAGTACTCTAAATTCTATGGGATAATTCACGTGTTTTAAAAATGCTTGTTATTGAGAAAGTTAGTGCCAGGGTGTCGTGGTTTAACCTCAGTCGGCAACTGAGCACCACGCAGCTGCTCGCTCACTCCCCCCTCCCCTCCCCGGTGAGATGGGGGAGAGAATTGGAAGAGCACAAGTGAGAAAAACTTGTGGGTTGAGATAAAAAGTTTAATAATTGAAGTAATAATAATAATAATAATGTAGTAATAATAATAATAATGATAATACGCAAAGCAAGTGATGCAATTGCTCACCACCCGCCGACCGATGCCCAGCCAGTCCCCGAGCAGCGGCCCCCCGGCCAGTTTGGCTGTGCCCCCTCCCAGCTTCTTGTGCACCTCCAGCCTTCTCAGTCGGTAGAGCATGGGAAGCTGAAAAGTCCTTGGCTAGTGTAAGCACTACCTAGCAACAACTAAAACATAGTGTGTTATCAACTTTGTTCTCATCCTAAATCCAAAACACAGCACTGTACCAGCTACTGGGAAGGAAATTTACTCTATCCCTGCCGAAACCAGGACACAGGGAACTATGCTCCACAAATCAGAGCAGAGAGCCATTACTCTCCATAGCAAGCCTGCTGGACTATGCCCTTGTATAATCCTTTTCAGAGTGTATTTTCACTGTATTTAAGTGCTCTTATATGTTAATAGTAATGATTGCAGTGATAAATAATACAAATTGTACCATCTCCTCCAAAAGGATGAACTTGGCCCAACTTTTTAGCCTTAACACTAATAAACATACTACCTTTCCTTCTCTTTTTTTTGCATATAATAGTCATACTTATTGTAATATATATGTGAATGTAAAATCATAATTTTCACAAATATTTTTAGCAGATAACTGTAGTCTCTGTAAGGACGGAAATCTGATTTCATTTCACTTAAAATGCTTAAAAAATAATTTTGCCTGTGAAGAAACAATTCTTTTTTCTATTTCCTAACCTGCTTTTCTTTCCATTCACTGTAAATATATAGCAATTGTTTGACTGGATGGACAAACGTACGTCTTCATATATTAAAACTTTAGCATGCAAGAAAGGATCATTAGGCATCACCATCCACAGAGTATTTTTTTATCATCTTTAAAACACTGTAAATGTTTAAAATGACATACTGTATTAGTATTAGTACCAGTCTGTATATAATTGACATAAAAAAAAATTACTGTGACAATATTCATTACAATATTGCCCATGTTTGATAAGAATTTAATTTCTCATTTCAAGATATACTCTGGAAGCCACCAGAAGTGAAAGGAGGTTAGTTTAACTGTGCTGTCTAGGCCGAAGATGTATTATTGATTCTAACAGCTGCACCAATTATCATCACTGAAAATTGCTGGCCGCAAAAACTTCCGTATGAAAAATATGTACTACTCTCTTTCTCTCTCTCTTTGCCTACAGAAAGAAGCTGAATTATGAGTCAGGGAGCACAGAACATCCATGAATGCAGGAGCAGAGATCACTAACAACTGATACCATGCCTTCAAGTCTGTTCTTTAGAAAATTGGATAGAGGAAGACGGGAAAGCGACAGGCAAATAAATGACCAGAAGGGAGAAGGGCAAGAAATGAACTGAAAGATAGGGGGCGACTGAGCATGTGGACTGATGCTTGGATAATGATAAGAAAAACTCTAATGCCACCTGAAAGGTGTTTAAAAGAGACTAGATAGAAGAGTAAATGCTTCATTGCTCTTACTGAATTTGTTTAGCTCCAGAATGAAGAGGACTACTAAAGGTTAGCATTCATAAATGACATACAAAATATCTCTCTCTTCTGTACTGCTTGATTTCATGCAGACTCAGATGAATTTGCATTGGTGGAGTACCTTCTTCCTGTGGGCTCTACATCCTGGCCTTGTGCAAGCTTAGAAGAAATGTGGCTCTTCAGAGGATGACTGATAGGGTTGCACAGCACTTCTACTACTCCTGAAGAAGAGGTGGTGGGTGAGGTGAAAACTTCCCGTAGACTGGATCCAGTCGGCAGGCAGCCCAGACAGAGATATAGAAGAATGTCCATATATCAAGAGTGATCATCCCTCAACATTAGAGGACTTCTTGTTTTTACAGACTATGGATGCATACAACTGAAATAAGGAATAAGAGCTTTCTGCAGGCTGATGGGGTACAGAGGGTTATCAGCAGCTAAGGTAAATGAAAACCAGGCACTTGTCACCGAGAAGTGCCTGCACCGTTCCTTTTTTTTTTCCCTTTCCAGAAGTACAAGTTTGCCTTCTCTTTATTCCTGTTTCAGACTCCCTTATACAGTGAATCATACCTTTAAAAGGCATGACATGAGCCAGCTGGAACAGGCTGCATCGGGCAGAGGTGCACATTACAAAATACTGAATGCAAACATTAAATGAAGCAGATCAAGAAGTTACCATGGTTGGAAAAATGGTGCTGATGAAACTTGGCTAGATGTAAAACTCTCTGGAAAAGTGGAAGACAACTGGTGAATATTTATACAGCACTTCATTCTAACTCTAAAAATGGATGCCAGCAAAAAGTCTATGTTTCACTCTGAATTTGCATCTTTTCACCAGCTAACCCTGATTAATGCTACTGCTGTACATAACAGTCCTCCCCATGGGATATCACGTTGAACATCATGTCCTTTAACATGTGGATTGGTACAAGTTTCCAGCTGAGGAACTCAAGCTGATTTTAAATGAAAGATTGAACAGCACAGTTAAGGATTATTGAATAGGGATGAAAATCTACAGACAAAGATGTTCACTGTTGACCATGTTGTGCATGTTTAGATGGAGAAAAAAGCTGAGCCCAGAAAGCTAAGCGGAGGCTCTGTGAAATGCCAGCTGTAATTATGGTTAAAATAAACCCGAGCAAAGTTGTGGATTTCATGGAATTAATGAGTGTCAATTCTGTTAAAAAAGCAAAAGTGCAAAGACAGGAAAGGATCCTGTTCTGTACCCACCAGTCTGCAGAGCTCATTCCACCTACTGAACCTTACTAATGAACTCAGCCTCTCATCATCATCTAACATTTCACAGGTAGGAAACTGGGCACTAATGATCAGAGGAAATGTATCTCTCAGCCATACAATTTTCTATAGTTGAAACTTCTTGGATTAACATTTTATAAAGTGAGTGTCACATCCCCAACTTGTTATAATTCTGGAAACTTAAACTTCCTTCTAAGTTTCCTAGATTGCTTGAAGCTCTGGAGTATGCTGATTTGCCATTTATTTTTTTTCCTTCTAGTTGCCAGTCCTGAGGAAATTATCAATGGCTTTTATACACACATGTCTTCATGTTATGCACTACACTTTTATAGACACTTTGATAATTTCCAGTCTGCCACACAGCTATTAGATGAGACGTAAGTTAAACATGTAATTAAAACTAGGTTACTTCAATCACTTTCAAATCTGTTCTTTAAATAACATTTTAAATCCTCTCAACGGACAAGAAATAACATTCTTTCCCTTCTATGAGTACAACAGATACATAAATCATTGCTAGTCCAAGTGTTTGTAAGCTTATGCACAGTATACCCCATTTGGATACAGCATAGGTATAGGTAAGTAGTTCATGGCATGACAAATTAGATGAGAATCCTATTGCCAGCTGGAATTTGCAAGACATTTGAATGAACAAAATTTTGCATTGGCCTGTGCAAAGAATTGCACTCTAACTGAACATGCATCATGTGGGCTGTGAGAAGCAAACACAGAATTGTCCAAGAGGAATAATATGCCTTCAAAACAAAATTTTACCAATAATTCTCAGTAATTAAATGATGGATTAAGACATTAATTATGGAAGTATATAAATTTTTCAAGTTTCTTCATATATAAAAATTGAATTCCTTTTTGATTTTTGAATCCCCGGACTGAGTTACAGCTCAGTTACAAGAAACAAGCCAAAAGCAAGTCTTCCTGAGTAAGATGTGTGCAGCAGTTTTTACTATATCATTATAACACACTCTGACCACTCAAGTCTCTTAAGTGTTACAAACACATTTTAGCATACATAGTATACACACTGCATAGACAAGTATTTCCTTTTTATTCTTCCCCTCAAGTTCATATTCTTGTAAAATATTACTGGATGAACCAAATTTCTGCTTTATTTTTGGAATCATGAGATGGTATAGGCTAGAAGGACCTTTGGAGGTCATCCAGTCCAACTCTCAGCTCAAAACAGGGCTAACTTGAAAGTTTTCTTTGAACCATCCACAATCAGCCCCAGGTTGTCTTCCCTAAGCTACTAATTAATAAACAATAATCAATAATCATAAAAAGTTCAAATTTTTCATTCCAATATATATTATTTTGCATTTATCAACAGTGGATTTCACCAGCTATAGTGTTCTCCATTCAACAACCTCATGAGCGCTGGAGCTTATTATTGCTATAAGTAATACCTACCAGAGAATCAAAAATTACAGCTACAGCTCCTTAAAAAAGTTCATCAGGTTGATCAGCTATGGTATGAATCAGTTATAAAAATAATAGTTTTAACTGGATCCTCCCCTCTTGTAAAAGGAAGCCTGGTTGAACATGCAGTATGGATTTTATAAAGCCGTTAGGAAAAATATTCATATTAAGTGACAATGTGACAACTGTTGGCCTAACACAGGAAACAGATAACTGCAGAGGGAACTGCAACTTTGTCTGCGGTGCAGAATTCTTCCTACTAGGAACTGAGCATAGCTGGGAGAAAAACTGCTGCTAACGACCTCCAGAAAAATTCACAAGGAGATGAAAAGGGAAGTAAATAAATATAAAAAGACAGGACTAGATTCAAAGTTGGAGGCTTACTGAACTGCAAGATCACCTAAAACAGGAAAAGGTTCTTTGAGATACTGTCAGGCAAGGAACAGAGATGCATTAGTGCTCTTCTTTGAGGAACACATTAAAACAATAAAAGATTCCATGAGTTTCAGGGGTGACTGCTGTGCATTAAGAATAATTTTAAAAATCATTAAAAAGCTATTTTAGTCCAAAAAGTAAGTATTTGCACTTAATAAACATACATCAGTATAGATGTGTGAAATAAAAAAAAAGATTCTTCAGTAAAGCTATCTTTTAGTGTAGATATAAACTTCACAAGGGCAGATGCACTTTGATCTGAATGGGCAACTCCAAGGTCACAAGGCTAAGGCTGTATCATACAGAGGCAAAATACTTGCCGTAGCACCTGATGGGATTTTTGGGGTGCGGGGCAGAGGGGACCAGAAGAGGAAAAGAGATAGTAAAAGCTATCTTTGTTTACCCATTAAATCTGCATCTCCTTCAGAACAAAAAAAGCTGGTACTACAATAGCCGGAGGAGTAACAGGAAATTGCTGAAATAAAGAATGAAATTCTGAGATACCATAACTCACAGATTTCTGAGAGTTTCAGTAAAAGTGAATCTTGCCCCTTCTCTTAAATTGATAATTTAAGAGAAAACAGTGAGAATAATCCCCACATTACATATTTGTTCAGCCTTCATTTATTGCTTGATATCTTAAGTTGTGAGATTTCAGGTCTAAATATTACCAACAAAAAAAGCCTTAAGCCAAGTCAAAGCCTTCTAAACCCAATTAATGCTGTGTCTTCCGAACCATTTAAAGCCTTCTTTGCTAAGTCAGGGTAATTAGCTTGCAGTAGAGAAACTCCTTCCACCCACCATCTCCCAAGATACCACAAGGTGTCTTTGCCCGTTTCAAAAGCGCTTTGCATTGCTCTATTAAATGAATACTTAACAAACAACAAATAAACACTCTCAAAAGTTCAGTAGATACTTGGTGGTAAAGGTGGTCTTTGATTCAATCATTAACTCAAAAGACATTTGTCAGTAAAAGACTGTAATCGGTTTCCACTTCTATGTGCATGTGTACAGGCGTGTGTATATACGTTTGGAGGTCTTTCAAAAAATCGGAGGAGATTTGATGTCATTTTTATGATATGTTTAATGACAAACATAAACACAGATGAGCATGAGCTTCCAAGCCTTTCTGGAAGTTATTCCTATATTCCAATAGGTCGTTACTCATATAAACACTTGGCATATATTCCTTGTAAAAAATCACAGCCGGTTATTTATACCAACTGTTATTTCAGTTTACTGATCTATTGGTTATAATGTGCCTAGATGGCTTTGAGGAATTTCAGTCATTTCTGATAAACAGCTTCATGTGCTACCACCGAAACTAAGGAATATTCTTCAGTAAGTTTGTGGGAAAAATAGTGATAATCCCTAATGAAAACATATCTTTAATACTTGATCTAGGAAGTAATAAAATCAATAAAAATAAAATAAATTAACAAAATGAAATAACTAAATAAAATGAAACTAATAGAATTAAGCGGGTTCAAGATATCAGAGAATAATGCTTATTAATTAAGCAGTACTTACAAGAAGCTTTTTCCTGATGGCTTCTAGTTTTTCTGTAGCTGCTGCTAATTCAGTATTTGCCTGAGCCAATGCACATCGTTTTGGCTCTACCTCACAATACACCTTGAAAAAGACAGACAACATAGGTACATTAGGCAAGAAGATGGTCTCACATTCATTATAAAAATTGCAAATGACTCCTGATGAAAGACTTTCAGATAATCCTGGTAATCTCATTACGTATATTTGCTTTAGAGCCATCTTTCTACACAATAGTAAGACACGCAGAGATTTCTTTCATTATTGACCTAAAGACTACAGGAGATTTCATTATAACCTACGTAAGGATATCTTAAGCAGAACTGAATGCATCCTCAGTGGGTCTACTCTCCAACTAAAATTAATTGATATGTATCACTTTCATGGTTTTAGAATACAGGTAGAAATCAGACAGGCATTAAGCTTGAGTAGATTTCAACTAGAATTGATTAGTTTTTTACTATTTCATAATTAAATAATAACCTGCTATAATACGAAGATGAATGGAGGAATCCTGCTGCCAGCTGCTCAAGGGAATCACAAGTGATAAGCTCTGTCTTACACTCCAGACAGCCAGACTCAGATGGACATTTTAAGTGAAACGTGTACATCTGGAGAGGAATATTTCCCAACTGTTGCATCATAATGACAATTGAAAAGTCCTGGACAGCCATATCTTTTTTTACACTTTCTACTAAAAATAAATACATGCATACATACTGTTAAGCACTGAATACTTCCCGCTTTATCTGTGGTTGCTGTTACATTCTCCCCAGGACACTAAACTGAGCTTACCAAAATAATAAAAAACTTCAATAACAGAAATTTCCGTCCACCAAGTCAAGAGAGGAACTGATCTATATACATACCTCATTGAATTTTACTATATTGATGACCCAGGCACAAAGACCAGCTGCTGGAAAGGGTTTTGTACGAGCATAATTTGGGTTGAAATCTGGATCTTTCAAGTAGTGTTCCTTGACAACTTTCAGACAATTCTGAGGAATATGCTCCTTATCATAGTTGATTAAAGCTTGTAAGAAGTCATCAACCCGCAAGAAGAGAAGTTCCAGTGCATCAATCCTTTTCCATTTCAGAGAATGAGAAGCTAACTCCTGCTTTCATTGCATATGCAAAACTGGAATCCTGCACTAGCTTATTATTTTGGAAATGTTATGCAAAAACGTTAAGCAAAAATATTATTTCCTCCAAATGCCTGAAGGATTCAACCTCATAAACACATGTTGTGATTTTATGATTCACTTGAGGAATTTGGCAGAGATGAGATAAATATAATGAAATGCTCTCCCTTTGACTTTTCTTCTATTTTTGCAATTAATAAATCCCAGTGGTGCGCAGGCTGGCTTGAGTCTGTCACCAAAGGTACACGGAAGAGAACAACGCAGGGTCATATCTTATTCCCCCAAATTCAAACTGTAAGAAAATGATGATATGATTTAGTTTGTCTTTCTCTGACTCTCATTTTTAACTATTCTTTTCATCTCTCATCTCAGACACTATATGATGTCCCATTGATCATTACCTTTCCCATAAAGACTTTTGCGGCTTTCCAGCTTCGGTCTTTGGGCACTTTCCTTTTATATACCAATAAAACCATTACTGCAGCAATAACATTGGTTACAGCCACTGGTGGGTTGGTGAAGGCTTTCAGTTCTGTAAGATTAACCTGAAAAAAGATCAGCGGAACAGATACAGAATTGTGCAACAACAGTAGATTTGTTCCACAGAAGCTTTCTGATTACAAGTACACAACTCTCAGCTCTTTGAAGACTATTACTAATTATTTTATGTGGTGAAAATACTCATGATCACAGCCCTTCCCTTGCTCTGCAATCCTATGTGCAACTTGGCCAAGTAGGGTGATGGGAAGTGTAATGCCAGGTCAGGTACAGCAGTTGCCAACCTGTTGCTTTGGAGCATGCTGCCCAGAGAAGATGGAAATTTAATTGTGCTTGGCAGCTTGGCACTGGAATGACCGTTTAGTAACCCTGAACTATTTGAACTATAAACCAATTTTTTTTGCAGACATCAAACTGTATGATCTTTACCTTATCAAGCGTGTCTAAGGCTGCTGTAGCAGCAACAAGAGCAGGTTCAGCTTTCAGCAGGTCATCCTCACATTCTTTCTGTCTCAAATATACTACTTCTCCTTGGATTTCTGCTACCTATTAAAACAATGAATCTTAAGATTTATATTGAAAACTAAGGCTGTAAATCAAATCAGAGCTGCTTAAGCACTCACACTTGCAGTGTAATGTCTATATACACAATCAGATCTTAAAACCCATTATTCTATGTTATGCATAAAAAAGACCTCTACACCTCTGACACTCAAGAAGGTTTGTGCTCAGCTCTAGACTCCATCTGTTCTGCGTGGTGAGAATTAACATCTGTTTTTACCACCATACAACAGAAGAGTCAGCCTCAACTCTGTGCCTGGGAAGATCATGGAGCAGATCCTCCTGGCAGCTCTGCTAAGGCACATGGAGGACAGGGAGGTGATTCGAGACAGCCAGCATGGCTTCACCAAGGGCAAGGCTTGCCTGACTAACCTAGTGGCCTTCTGTGATGGAGTGACTACATCAGTGGACAAGGGAAGAGCTATGGCTGTCATCTGTCTGGACTTCTGTAAGGCCTTTGACACAGTCCCCCACAACATCCTTCTCTCTAAACTGGAGAGGTATGGATTTGATGGGTGGACTGTCTGGTGGGTGAGGAATTGGTTGGATGGTC